CTTCATTATTCTCATGCAGATCTTGAACAGTTTGCGCAACACATCATTTTCTTCAAGTCGAATTTTCTGTATTGCTTGTCTAATTCCTGGGGAAAGCTCTGTAGGTTCAGATTTTGCAATGTACTTTGCAATGTAGTACGCGATTGACTCATTTGATCCACATGGCTGGATGTCCATATTCCTTTGCAGAGGTTGAGTAGTGTAGGATTATAATTGTTCATCCATCAGTCTTCGTATCTTCGCTTCAGCATGCATATTTGACCACCATTGCTAATGAAGTCATCAGATGTTTTAAGAGACGATGCGGGTTTCAGCACAAACTTGTCGTGGCAATCTGAAGCAGCACGCTATTGATGAGTCGTCATCATTCTCCTTGCTTGTGTTTGTTTGGTGGTGAACTTGACACTTTTTCACAAGCTCATATCGCTCAGAAGTCTCGTCTGGTTATTTTTGCTGTGCACATTTAATCAATTTTATTGATTCCCTCAGGTGTATTGAATGAGGAATGATCTTCTATCCACACGAGCATGTCTACGTAGATGTGGACCTCCACGTTTTTGGAACTCAATTCGCCACCAGCAATCCTTCAATCGACCACCAAAACACTTCATGATTATTTGTCAAGAATTTCATCAGTGCGTTAAATCGTATCATCAAGTGTCGGGTGACTATGACAGGATACTGTTCGATCAATCGTTGTGTGGCCTATATGTTGAGTTCATTTGGATCTTCATCGGGTCTTTTATCAGCTATTAAGAGTGCCTTGCGCATATCAAGCAAATTCAAATCATCGCAACTGAATGTCCCGAAGTATGTTGGTGGTCCTATTGAACGTATTTGTCTGATAAATTCATTCAGCACTGTTTGCCAATATGCAGCTGATCCTCAAAGATTCTTAAGGTAGAGGTGAAGATCTTCTACTCTACCATATTGTCCTTGAACCTTCTTTCCACAAGCTGAGATGTTAGATTGGATGTGATAATACTCGAACATTGATTGTGCGTAGAAGTGGTCGTCGTTTCGTTGAAATGGTGTATCACTACCCACAATTCTGTATTGAAAGTAGTCCAATGGAGTGATTCTTACTTCTTTGAGTCCATTGCTTCCTTTTGGGAAGAGGTAGAACCATGCAAACTCTTCAACTTTCAAATCATGTGCTTTGTTGGCAATGTTGTTGGTAGTTTTAGGCCTTATTTCATGAGTATTATCACAGACTTCGTATTCATCCTCCACATTTGGCTGATCACAATCTATGGAAGCCATGACTGATGTTTGTACAGGCACTGATTCCACTTGTGCTGCCATAGTTTCTTGCATTGCCTCTCGCAGATGTGGTGATGAATCTTCTTCTTCTCGTATTCCTGGATTGACAATGTCATTTTTCGGATGCACATCTATGAAGTTGATGGTGAATTGAACATTTCTTGATCCTGTTGATCGTCTGCAGATTCGTTCAAGTTCTTCAATTGTGTCGCACTCAATTATGCATGCTCTGCCATTGCCTGCCAGTGCACCTTTCTGACCACATGAATGTGAATCAGTGAAGTAGTATTTGTCATCGTAATGCATCATTTCTAGTGATTTCGATCCTGTTAATAGTACGCCAGCCTGATGATTTGTGAACAAATCATTAAATGCATCGCCCATTGTGATTCCTTGTGAATCGTCTTCATTGACTGAGTCTTGTAGACTTCCACCGAGTAGTGTTTTCTCATCAGAGGCTATTGAGCATGAGTTGTTGAACATAATGAATTTGTTTCGTATGGCATCAAAATGTTTGACTTCCAGATATCCGTTAGCTATCATTGGATATCCTAGATTCGCAAGTTTGGCCAATCGAATGGTTCCATACATTCCATCACCTGCAATCAAGTTCACATTCAATGTGTTTGTGGTCCATATGCTTGGTGGCAGTATAGCAGCTCTTACAATATTTGCCAACACCATTGCACAACATTGAACACCTGCATTGGCCCATGTAAACACATCTTCATTTGCTTGATGCCATGCAGCGCAAACAAATCTAGATCTTTCATTGATTGGCATGTCAGCATTTGCAGGTTCTTGCGGCTGATTTTGCCCCACTGGTTGTTGCGCAGGAATAGCAATTGAATGTACATCAGCGATGTTTGCTTCTTCATTGATTGTTACATCCCGATAAAGTGGATTGTTTCGAATTAGCCAGTTAAGTGCATTGTAAACCTGTTCACGATGTATAGAGAATGCACGTGTGATGTTGAGATTTTCAAGATGTTCTGTGATGACAACCGTTCCAGTATTAGCCATTGCTCGTGGAAGTGTGTCACTAACTTCAAAGATGTCCATAGCAAAGAGCACTGCTTGTCCACGGAAGCCATATTGACCGAATACTCGTGTGAATTTGATGATGTTCACAAAAGGTAACACATTCCTGCGGAGGGAGCTGGTAGTACGTTGGGTTGCTCGGTCAATGGCCAGGATCAACGGCGGCACCACGTGGTGTATTTCGCAAATATGCCCGACTGTGAGGGCGGGTACAAGCCGGCGTGAGTAGGTTAAACGTTGAGTTTTATAAGGGTACCACGGGGTGACCAGCCCCTTCCCACCCAGCCCCTCCCCACCCTCCCCACCTAGCCCCTCCCCACCCAGCCCCACCCTCCCCATCCAGCCCCTTCCCACCCAGCCCCTCCCTCCCCACCCAACCCCTCCCCTCTCCACCCAGCCCCACCCCTCCCATTTTTGGATGCACGACGGACGGACACAATAATCCCCTGTGGGCTGGTGTAACCAGGAGGTTCCTACCAGTATAACTCTTGATAATAGACGTTGTTCTGGCTGTGGTAAGACTCGAATCACATCTGGAATTTCACCAGGATCCAAATTATTCCAGTGAGCTTTTGGCGGTGCAGCTCTATTGTTACTGCTGATGTGTGGCTTGCAACGTGAACACATTTGCAATGTTTGCTTTGATGACAATTCGGTTGGTAGATAGTGCAAAGCATTTTCATTACCTCGTACTCTGTAAATATTATTTGGATAGCAGCGTTTGGTGCAGACTTCACAGATTTGATTTCAGAATGTATTGAAAAGGGCAACACTCAACCGATTTGTCCACCACAACCAGCTTAATTTTGAAATGTAAATGGAAAAAACCATCAAAGAACCAAGAATATGAATCTCTGCAGTCACGAAAGCTTTAAATCAAAAATCAATATAAATGTTAAAAATTCGCTTTAAATGGGGTTAGTGCAAAAATGACGTCACAGACCCTCTCAATGTATTGTCCCATTGGATGCACTACATAATAAACTTTTGTAAAGTTAAGCAAAGCATTGAATGTGACTGTTCACCTTAAATAAGAAAAAATACAAGAAATGGTACGAAAAAAATGTTCCAGGCGAGCTTCGAACTCGACTCCAACGTTGGTATTAATATATTTTTTTCACAAAACGTGTTCGCAAAGCACTCGTCGAATTAGGTTTCCATACAAAATATTAAATGCGTTAAACGAGCCAAGGAAATTATTAATTGATGGCGATTTTGACACAGGCATGCTTTGTCACCGGAACTGAGTACTGTGCAAAATTAGGGATTGATTGGACAACGGGAAGTGGACGAAATGTAGATTACAAGGTTTGACCACAACACAGCTTTCAAGTTAGATAAAACCGTGAAAAATGTAGTTATTACCTTAATTTGGCAAAAAATCTTCCTCTGATAATTAAAAAGTTTAATTACCATGTGATGAATGCATCCATAGCAGGGCACATAGGACATTGCAATGTCCCTATTATGAATAACAGGTCATTTGAATTACTCAGAAGCATTTCTGTAATATGATATGATATTCCGTGGGCCATGCTCTAACTGAATTCACATAAATAAATTTTCTCATGGCATGACACCAAACGCAAAATTGAAATAAAACCATGGAAAATGCATTTTTTTTTTACAAAAAAAACTACTGTATATAATCTGTTGCTGCTCCCTCGCTGATGCTATGACTGCAAACTCATGCCCACCACTTCCCCACTCCCTTGTGGCATAAGGGGTATAAAAAGTGCTTTTTGTTTTCCCATTGATGCCATTGGACTTTGGTTTTAGCTGCAAGCGCAACTCTCCAGATGTCTCCTCTCTTTACTGCTCCTTGTGGCCCATTCGGTCAATGTTAGGCCAGCCCTGGAGGGGCCATGGGTTGCTGGACGCTCTTATGAAAATGGGACGTATTGGGAGAGTAATAACAAAGCTATTAGGCTTGAGTTTTAAAGTCGATTTTCCAGAAGTATTGTTCAACTCTTAATGTCCTTACAGCCCAAAGTGTAAATTGTACAAATTTGCAGCAGGATTGTATATACCACGAAAATGTTCATTCTCAGCTGAGAGAATCTATGCAGGCTGAGTACAGTTTAAAGGACATATGTGGATTGCCAGTAAGATTAGCCATGTAGCCCAGGGGTATACTCCGTCTTGGCACAAACATGAAAATGATTCAATAATATTCTGCCACTGCTTACAATTCCTGCATATGCAGCCTGTCATGTTTCATGGACGCTCACTTAAAACACAGTTGATCTGTCTGGTGTCCGAATAGCACTGATATCCTTTGGGCTTACAGTTTCTTAATTACTTTTAATACGTCTAATTAAAATGCGTACACAAAATGCACGCCTGTGCACATTAGTGTGTGAGATGCAATAACACTAAGATGATTTAAATGAACGAGGGGGGGGGGGGGTGGGGTGTTTTCTTCACTAAGAATAATTGGTGACAGATGTGAGAGAGGTGAGAGAAAAGATGTCAGCCTTCGCATTCCTAAGATCCTTGTGGACAAGACAAATTATAAGACCGCACAATGTGGCAGTGCATTAAGAAGGCTTTCTTACAAAACACCGTGGGAACACGTGGTTCTGTGGCGAGGTGAGCACTGCCCATCCGTGCCGGGCTACGGGAGTTGACGCAAGGTCCCTGTCTGCCCCCATGGGGCCCCTCCCCCCCCCCCCCCACGCGCGCGCGTCTCTCAGAGCTACATCCAGAGCCTACGCGAGCGGCAGCACGAGGCGTCGATGAGCAGCCTGAGCGGAGCTGCGGCGGGGCCCCACACCACTGTCGACGTGGAGTACGACTGCGGCTCCATGGTGCCGCTCACTGCCCCCATGAGCAGCTCCGCGGTGCGGGCGTGACGCCCGCCGACCAAGTGGAGGCGCAGAACCGCGCACGAGCAAGGGGGGGGGCAGCGTCGCACGCATTCAAGCACGACCGAGTCCACCGCAGCAATATGCAACGCATGCCGCACAGAGGCTTTGCTTTAGCTGTGCCGCCGACGCCGAACATCAGCATTCGGTCAACAGCATAACAACGGCTGCCCTTGTGCAACACTGCTGTACTTACAGGGGTGCTGATATTGGCAGGCAGAGATGTCATATTCGGCGACGCGCGATGCTCGCTAGCATAGAAGTGGACGAAAATACTGCATATGTACCTATTTGACAGTGTTTTTTTTTTGGAGAATTTGACACTTATTAATGGGGATACAAAAGGGGAAAATTATTCCCTTATGCATACAGGGCTTCAAAAGCATTTATATACAGAATTTACAACTGTATCAGTATCAACTTATAAATATGTATGCAGTACGTACAATACATGTACATACAAATATCGTCTACGGGGAGTCTCTAGAGCTCCCTCTAGGAGAGGCCCTTCTGCCAGCAGTGGGGTGAGCAAGTAGTTGCAGGGCTGTACCTTTACAATTTACATTCAACCTATACGTACGACTATCCATAGGCACATTCACATAATGGGGCAGGGAAAACGTTGGAGGCAACATGCAAATCCTGCACACATCTACAGATGCTGTACTTAATTTTCCTTTGTAATTACCCCAAATATCAATGCATTTATTAATCCTATTATGAGAACAAAATCGGGAGCTATAAAATACGCCAAACATGATGTCACTGTGACCCAATGCTCGAAAACATTTTGGCTAGTTCTCACATCGTATGATGTGTGCGCGCGTGTGTATTTACAGAAGGCAAACTACTATAAAGACAATACACACATCTTCTTGGTTCTTTCGGTAATAAAAGATGTGTATTTTATTATTTCCCTTCTACGTGACTTTACCGAAAGAACCAAGAAGATGAATCCCTGCAGTCACGAACGCTTTAAATCGAAAAATACAATACACATTAAAAATGGGATGAAGTCATTTGTGGACACCCGAATAAAAGCACGGGCAGACGTCACGAGTAAAATGTACGTCCATCCCTACACCACAGTTTAGTGTACACAGTCCATTCTTTTTTAATTATTATAACATCCATGTTGGAAGAAAGCATAGACTGGCCATTTGCAACTCTCAACTGTCTTGCATGATGAAAATAATTCAACTCAATTTTTAGACTATATATTGTTCACATGTACATTTAATTCTCCAAATTGTTTCATCACACATGCAGCGTCATTGCATATTATAGTTATTTGTGTTAAAAACCTTGTTTTTAAACTGCAAATTCATATATATACACACAACATACATAGTGATACACACACACCGGAAATGAGTTAAGTTCTCGCTTTAAATCAACTACGCTGTTTTTCCTGCCAAGGCAGGCTAAAACAGCTGCATAAAGCACCATGCCCGAACTAAAGATACAAATTAGAACGTGTCTCAGTGACACATTGTCTGTGAACGTGCAGCAACATTCCCTCCCACACTGTCACAATTGGGCAGTGATACTGTGGAATTCTAGCTTTAAAAAAACACCTTCTATAGGCGCACATCAAAATGACACAGCGGCTTTTGCTATATATGGCTTAAAATAAAATGTGCACTGAAATCACACACGCACATTATCACAAGTTCAATTTGCAACTTCAGTTTTTGGCATCAATTGAAATGTGCTGTATAGAAATGGAAATAACTTGTCGATAAGATTGTATGTGTTACAAAAACACTGGTACACCATAAGTTAAGTACTGCATTGTTATAAATGACCCTAAACCGACGTAGATGAAGTGAGAATTAGAGATTTTTTTTTGCCATAAAAAATGAAAATGTGAAAAAAAGCTTCAACCCATTTAATGGTAACATGATTTTCTTTTGCTGTTAAATGCTTTTAGTTTCTGTGCTTGTAAATTATGAGTCGCAAAACAGCAACATAAGACGATTTTAAACAAACATAGTATTAATAACAATACGTTTATTCCCTTAGAGTTCTCATGAGTATTGTGTTTTTGTCTATTTAATAACTTTCATTATTTCCTAGCACATGCACCAATACACTTTAAACGCTCCACACTCAGCACCCACGTGCTGTATTTTAGTACCGGAGGTTGTATGTAACAACTTGCATATATGGATACATTTATTTTAAAACGTTGATGATTGCCATATTTTTTGCAGCCCACACAAGATGGATAGCGCTTTAAATGCTTGCCACATTATGTGAGAACACTTGGTTTGCACACACTTTAATTTATGACTGTTGTGTGAGTGTCCTTAATTTTGTATGTGTTCGTTGTGTTGTATATGACTTGTGATGATTAAAGTCCTTTGACCTGCTTTATATAAATTTGCTGAATGACCTTGAAGGTTTTTTTAAATTCTTGACATTTAATTGAAACTACTGTGCGAGGTTGCTCTCTCAATTATTTATTTGCAGATGTGAAATTTAATTGTTGTAAATATAATAATGATGATATGTGTATAGTTGCCTCTACGGTATGTTATTTATTTAAGTTAAGACACGCGGCCGCAATGCAAGTCTATTTTATCACCCTTGCAATAACACGTAACATTTCTTGTGAAAATAAAACCCGAAGTTTTAACAAGTGTCCTCCTTTCAACTTGTTTTGTACATGTTATATACACAGGGTCAGATGAAAACAAACACAAACTAAAATTGTAAATATGCCTAGAATTTGTGAATACCATATATGAGTGATCAAAACATTTTCAAATGGTGGTGTTAAAAATGTCCATTATCAAATACGAGTAGACATTCTGATTTTATTATTTATAAATTCTCTATTCCACAATTTCCCATCGACAATGCATATACAGTACTGTACTATTATCCCAGCATTGAATTTCTGTCTTCAATTCATAAAAATGTCTTAAATTCTATGGTCTGTAGGGTATGACATTTCCCATGAGTATACCGTATTTGGTGGTGGCTAGACATACACCTGCAATTCAACAATGCATGGGCTAATATCATCAATCCCTTCTCTATGGGATAGAGTGTTGCCCCTGTGCATGCACGAGTTTCTCAGTGCTCCGATTTCTTCCCAAGCGTATAAAACACCCACTAGCTGAAAACATCTACATTTATTAGAGGACTGCAGAGCAATGTTTAGCACCGCCTCATCGCCTGGCAGCATTCCCAGCTTGTCTGTGCATCCTCAGCGATTGTGAAATGTTGTTTTACATGGACAACGCGATGTACAATTATTAGAGTTTTTTTATGACATTACATTGAGACACTGAAAAGAGTTGCAATGCAAATGTGCCTGTGGTGCGGGTTCCTAATCTGGCAAATTGTTTGGTGAGACCGCGAAAATAACAAAAGCTCAACACATTTGTCAACACCACTGCTTTAAGAGGGACAACATAGCGCAATAGGCGACATTTCTGGCAATGTGCCTTCTTCATAGCACATAGTTCCATTTATTTGGTATAGCCCTGTGAGCCATTCGGCTCTTGAATCGGGTGCAACCGCAACAAACAAAAAAAACAAAAACATGAACAAGAAAACATCTTAAAGTGACTTTGTGACTGCAAACAGAAAATCCAGGAAAAAACATCAAAATATTCCTGAAATAGCACCGTACACCAACGCTGTGTGCAAAAATCCCAGTGGGATGCAAGTCAAACAACAACAACCACAAGACAACTAAGATTAAGGCCATCAGTCTAACTCCGTACTACAATAAACAAAAACATGGCCAAACCAAAAAAACTTTTCGAAATCACCAAAATAAAGCCATAAATGCAATGTAACAGTGATCATAGGGACTGTGACCGAATTTTTAACAAACTATATAACATGTAACACCAAACCCTAGAGCCATAGCTGGCTGCATGAGTCACTCCACAACAACAGGAGCATCAGTCGGAGTATCACATTTTTCAATGCACCTTTAAGATCAAATAGAGAGCCCGGAGAGAGTGTTGGAGATTGGCCTATGCATACAGTGATGGGTGTCATGTGGACGAATGCTGGTTATAAAATGCAGTAATAAATAGAGCAGTCTAGACAGTTGCTGACGGTGGTGATTTAGTCTATTTGTTAAAACAGTGATCAGTGCCTGAAGCTTTGGGGACAGCCACAAAACACAGTGGACTACTACAACTGGTTATGAAGCTGTAGATACTTTTACATATATGTAGCTGAATAGAAAATGAGGAAAACATTTCAGGCGTTGGGCAGACCAGCGGGTCAGAATGTCAAATATGAGGATAAATTGTCCGAGCACAATAACAAATAATAAAAACAAACTTGTAGTAATAATAAACCACCAGTTACATGTGGAACTGAGTCATTTCCAGTTGCCCAACTGCCGATGTGCCTGCGGTGTTTTTTTATGGATTGCCAGGGGGGGTCACGTGTGATGCGGTGGGTGGCTGGAAGCGCACGGTAATATAAAAGGGCACTTGCTCGAATAAGCGGCAGCCTGCCAAGCGTCGAGTTGAGCCTATATCGCAAGCACGATGCAAGGGTTGTCCCAAGCAGCACTTCGCATGTGGCCTCTGGCCTGCATGGCCACGTGCGTAATGATCAACGTGCTGGCTCAGGATCTTCCGAGCAGCACCCCGGATGCCAAACAGGCCATGGTAGGTGCCACCCATCCTGCAGCATTACACGAATGTGACACATTTAAACTTTTAATTGACATTTATTTGTATGTATGTGTTGCTGCTATATTATATGTGCGTGTGAATTTTAGGAATACTTGCAGAAATTTGGTTACATATCGAACGGAAGATTCAAAGTCGAGAATGAAATGGAGAAAGCAATCAGGTACTGTGGTATTTTTGTGTCTGTAGTTATACGCACAACTCTAAAATCGTAAGATTATTTTTACTATATGCTGGCTACAGAGTGACCTGCAAAAGGCCGTCAGGGTAGTTGCTGACCAATCTGAGTGGGTTTTTGAATACAGTATTTGAGCCGTGGATGCGCCTTGTCGTTTTTCAAGTGCCTTGAATGTTCATACCTCTGGAAGTGATGTATGATCTCCATTATGAAGTAACTATGACACAGTGAGCATGGCCATAATTGCCATACACAGAGCTGCAAATCAGAGACCCAGCGTGGGCTATGCATCATCCCTAAACAGCAGACGTAGCCGCTAGAGATCGGTGAAGAATGCACGATTAATCAATTTCCTGACAGCATTTGGATGCAAAGGTGGGCATGCACAGCTCATGTGCCTCAGCCACCAGGCGTGGGCAAGGCCAGGTGCCAACAGAGTGGTAGACAATTAATAAATCACTTGCGCTATGAAGAATAGGCATTTCCTGAAACGTCACGCGTGATATATTTTTCCTTTGATGGCCGTGCTATTGACGAATGTGTTTTAATTGTTTATTGTACTCCAATGCCAAAGCAGGGAATCAACAGTTCGTGTGGCGGGCAGTGGCGCTCCTGCTGCCGAGTGTATTATTTTGCCTCTTGTGCCGTGGTCGTGTCGCCGCCCTGCACGCAGTGAGTTCCAGCAAATGGCGGGACTCAAGACAACCGGCCTGCTGGACGAGGACACCGCGGCGAAGATGGCACAGCCACGCTGCGGGGTGGGAGACACGCGCAGGGACATCACGTTCGCGTGGAATGGGGATAAGAGCCGGAGGAAGAGATCATCCGGTTACACGCATACCGGTATACCAGACAAGCAGACTTGCATTTTAGTTGCAAAAGTGTATGATTGAACAATGTACAGCACAACGTTGTGATATCGCACTTGATAAACTACTGTAATGTCGATTAACATTTTTCGCGGAATGATTATGTACTTCTCGTTACGTTCGTGCAACGAGAGTGGAACAAAAGGCTGCTGCTTTTAGCGGTGCGATGCCAATGATGAGGACGACAACGAGGACGTCGCTACCGGTAACAATGACGATGATGGTGGTGGTGGTGATCATTACGATGACAATGATGATGATGGTGGTGATCATCACGATGACAACCAACCGCCTCTTGTTTCGTCTCAGGGGGCCGTTGGCGAAAGACGACCCTCGCGTACCACTTCCTGAATCTGACGCCGGACCTGAAGGGGAACGAGGTGAAGAAGATCATCGCGCGCGCCTTCCACGAATGGAGCCGGGTGACTCCGCTACGGTTCTACGAGACCCCGACCTCGTCCAAGGCCGACATCCACATCCAGTTCAGCCGCTTGCAGCACGGAGACTTCGCGCCCTTCGATGGGCCGGGTGAGCGTGAGCCACGGCCCCATCTCATGACCCCCACCAATACCAATCACCCCGTCATTCGGCCTGTGCCCGGCTGGATGCACTTTGAGGCCACGTGATGTTGGATTAACGACACATTTACGCGATCAACCCCATAACACCTTTATCATGAATAATATTAGTCGCGAAGGCCGACGGGTTAAACTGAGGATATCAACGACTTATATGTAGGGCAGAGAACATTTGGTGATGTCAACACCGCCACATGCTTGCCCGCCCACTCGCCAGGCAGCCAGGCAGCCAGACAAACTTTTTGTAATACATTTAGCAGTACGGTACTGAAACTGTATATGATTTGCACAAAATAACTGTGGCGTTTGTATGTCGTTGTGTGAAGCCACCAGCAAGCCTGTATTGCACACTAGAAATCAGGGCTGGCACAACAGAGATGCAACTAAAAACAGACACATTTTAAACGTCCCCGGTTTTCTGACGACATTGGTATGAAATCCTTCATACTGAATGAACAATTACATTCAGGATTGTGAATGTCACACTATTTCAAAATATCCATGATCAAATTTAATGTCTTGAATGACAAATAATCCAAATCTTTTGTTTTGCTGGACAGCTCCTGAGTATAGAGCTCAGCCAGAGTGATGGAAGAAAAATGAGGTCCTTCTCAAGATGTAGTACGTTTGGAACATTGAATTCATGAAGAATACAATTGCTTTCTCTGAGGTTGGATGTCATTGATCTATGCATAGGGCAAGTAATAACATGTAACAGACACAGGATAAAAATGTTACGTTTGAGTTTGCCATGGGGAATTGGAAATGCTTTCATGGAAGAACAATAATGGACATAAAAGCACAGGAAGAGAAATGCTTGAAAAAAAAGATTCATTATTTATTACTATGACGAATTACACTTATTGATAGCATATACGCCAACATAGTAGCCAAAGTACGGGTGACCAAGAAGGTGATGGAGTGATGAAAGCAGTGCACGTTTAGGAGGGAGATAATTGTAGCTGGAAATGACTGTGGGTTGTGGTGTCAAAATAGAAATGCCTTCATCAAGCATTGAACTGAAAATGGTTCATGATCTGGACACATTCATGGCTACACTTTATGTGTGCATGCATTAGCAGTGAAATGACTCACACCTAACAACCCCCTCCCCTACCCACCCCCAGTAGTTTGATTTATTGTCGTGACTTCGGGTCATAGTTTTATTTAGTGTATTTTTTACATTGTGGTGAATGGTAGCGCCTCTTGTGGGTGCAAAGGTTAGGTGAACGAATTTCACAGTATTTTAATGGACAAACATTGATTCTTACACTGTGAAATAAAAAAAAACTATTTGTGATAAGTTAACGGTGATCAGTCTATGAATGCACAAGCCCCGACCATGAAAATGTGGCATTTCTCGGTATAAACGTTATCTTTAACTAACTTACACCTCTTCTTTGGTTCTTTCGGTGAAGTCACGTAGAATGAGAATAAACTACGTGACTTTACCGAAAGAACCAAAGAAGATGAATCCTTGCAGTCACGAAAGCTTTAAATCGAAATTTAACTTACACCTACAAAGCGTTTTGTCTGGCAGTGAACAACATTTTCACATACTTGGGTGCCACTGGTGCAAGGGCTGCTTATCAACTGCGCTCAGAACACAACTGTGGTCAATGACTATACCAGTCACCGTGACTGTGTCGTAGTGAGGATGACATTACCAAGATCATGTCCACTTTATAAGGCTTCAAGGTTTTGAATCTTGCAATAAAACGAAGTGGATTGGCAATATTTCCTCCCGATGTTCCGCTCATGGTTGCATCATGGTTGCAACAGTTTCGTAAAGGTTGTATCGTTCGCATAATGTATAATAATTCACAACGCGGTATTCCGGACACACGAGACATACCTTACATGTAATGAGAGGCATTTACATTATAATCTTCTGCTAAACCCAATTGTCTGTTATAAGTCACGACGTTTCTTCGCCACTTCAGAAAAGCAGTATACCATGAAGTCAGTTCTCATTCGACGTATTTTAGAGCTTTTCTTTGTTCAAAATGTCAACGACATACTCCCCAAAATGTCCTCAAAAAGGAGACAATGTTACATTTCCGTCAATATCTTCATGTGTATCTGCTCATAAGCAGCGGAGTGCATTTGGAAGAAAGCGAGTCATTCTGTAACAAACAAAAACAATTCCAACGTTGCCCTGTGTTCATTTGCCAACGGCGAGGTGAGCAGCGCTTTTACGCAGGCCCTTATTCAAGTCGATATGTCTAGCACATGAGTCACCAGCCCTTGGATTCACTCAGAATTGGCCACTAGCATAATCAGCTTTTCATTACTCACCTCCCTGTCACGCTCTTAAACACAGAGCCCCGTATCCATGTATTCCTCCTGCTAATTTAAATCTCTCCAATTCACTACTGTCTGCTTAAAAGGCACCCAGAGCTAATCGTTGAAAGGAAGGTTAAATATGATTGATGAAGAATATTTTACAAAAAACTATCTGCATGATGACATGATGAAAAGTACAGCGTAATTTCCTTTAACATAATTGTTAAATACCATTGGCAAGGTAATGGCTATGGCCATGTGTGTAACTTATATACAAGCATCAGAGTTGTGGAACAGCGGTTTGTGCATTGAGCCACAATCCCTGCAACGTGGGTTCCAATCCGGCCCACGATACACATCAGTGGCAAGTGTGGTCTGTACCTGTGGTGAACCTCACATAGAATAGCTCACTCATACATGATGACCTGATGCAGTATCTAAAAACTTTCACTCAAAACACAAAGGTAATCAGGCATGGTGCTGGCCATACTGGCCTTAACAGATACTTATTGTATAACATTCGCCTCTTTGGTCTTTTCGGCTTACTGTGTGTGTGTGTCGTAGCGAATCCAGCCAACTGAGTTCGATTCCTGATTGCCTCTAATATCAGCATATATTTTTTCTAATATTTAAAATTCGAACCCTGACGCCAGAGGCACACAATAACCTTCTCTTGCAAAGCAGATTGCACGGTATATTGTTATCGTTAATACACCCACCATAATGATTCAGGGCTCCCGCTGGATTCGAACCGTGAACCGCTCCAACAAAGCAGCGAATGTGCTACCACTAAGGCCATGTCACCCCTCAACGCGTGTTCTCACTCCATGTAGCCATAACCGCCCGCCCTCCACCCACTCCTCTTCTGCTGCCTAGGCCGTGTGCTGGCGCACGCGTACTTCCCTGAGGACGGCCGGGCGCACTTTGACGAGGACGAGCAGTGGAGCGAGGGCACCGCGCAGGGAATCAACCTGCACATTGTGGCGACGCACGAGTTCGGCCACCTGCTCGGCCTCGGGCACTCCAAGGAGCAGGCGGCCCTCATGGCGCCCTTCTATATGGGATACAGACCCAAATTCCGTCTGCACGCGGACGACATCGCGGGCATACAGAGCCTCTACGGTACACGACTCGGCAAGCGCCACCACACCGCTACGCGCCGGGTAGCGCAGCCCGCACCGCCGCCGCGCTCGCGCGCACGGTGGATGCCACATGGAAGGAGGGAGGACGAGGGAGCCGAGCGGTCAGAAGGTGTGCGATGGGAATGGCATTGTGAGATAGTTCCAAACTGGACTATCGTGCAATGCTTATTCTCTTAGGTGGTGGTTGTGGTGGTGGTGGTGGTGGTGGTGATTCCTGGTGTACAACTTGACACAAAGGGCGCGTTTTAATGAATCTATGTGCAAATTGAGACGTAGCTCGTGTCTTTAATTACTCTCACATCAAGTTGATTATGAAATGATTATCAACTGGATGTGTATAAAATGAAAGATGAAGGGAAGAGTTGTAGACCTTCTTTTAGCAAAACTACTGCGTGTGTACTGCTCATTAGTAGAATCCTATGTTGAATGAAATCGGTTCTTAGCAAGTCACCAGCATTGCTGCAAGCTTACTTGTTGCTGAGAAATTGTGGAAATACAGCCTTCTGTTGCCAACGAACCAGGTGTGGCCCATGTGACAAGATGTCCTGACAAGGCTGATGTGGGTTTCGGTGTGTGTGTGTTTACATGTTCATTGGTGTGTGTGTTTACATGTTCATTGGTGTGTGTGTGTGTTTACATGTTCATTGGTGTGTGTGTGTGTGTTTACATGTTTATTGGTCAGGTCGCAGCACATCAGCGTTGGATGATAGTGATCATGGTAATAATGAGAAGTCAGCTCCTACAAGAAGCCCGATTCCCCATGACGTCCCGGACCCATGCACTGCTCAGCTGGACGCTATCACCATGGGTATGTGCAGCAGTGGTGCTGGCCCATTGGGGGCCCACGAGTAGAATTTATTTTGGGGGGGGGGGGCCTTTAAATTCTAAACCCCGAGTGAGATGACATCACGATATAGCCAAGAGACCGACATGGAGTGAGATGAGAGAAATGTAGACAAAAATGGCAATGAGATGAGACTGAGATGGAGCAAAAGTTGTAGGCAAGATACAAAGATGGAGTTGTATGAGATATACAGACAATATGGATATGAGAGAATAATTAACTTTCTTATGTAAATTAGCGTTTTATTATTTGAACTTCAGATGACATTTGAAAGACAATTTTGAGTCTTGGATAACCACAAGACATATAAAGTTGCCAACCTGCATCGATGGCGAGACAGATATAGGGCAGTGGGGGAGCAGATCCATATGGAGTGTACACATCACATGGTCCACAACACTCTTTAAAGGTGTGCCTCGGAGGACGCCTATGCTGTTTTCACACCCTTGGGCTCACGATTCCACCCGCTCAAGCTTCTGCAAGAGGAGACACCCATGACAGCTTTTCTGACAGTTGACTGTCTGTAAAACATATACGAAAAGTTACATGCAAATCCTACAAATGCAAATCCTTTAAATATCACGAGACTGCAGGCCATTGTAAATGTTTAATATCCATGGTTATTCCAGATGGTGAAACAAGTGACTGTGGAGCTCAGACAAGAGACATCGTCTAGTTTTCCCCAGAGAGGCACCGAGTCGATCATTATTTATGACCCGAAGCGCATGCACGCCAATTAAAAAAAACACTCATATTTGTGTTGGCACAGGGCCGGATGGGAGGACGTACGCGTTCAGCGGTGCATACTGCTGGGTCGTGACGGACACAGGCGTGCAACAGGGCTACCCAGTTGCCACCAGCAGCCTGTGGTCAGGCCTCCCGGCCAGTCTCAGCGCTGCCGCGCACTCCAAGCACACCGGACACACCTTCTTTTTCGCAGGTTTGCATTGAACCATCGTCGCCATCATGTTTGAAATATAAAGGTTAATATTCACTCGATCGTCTCGTCCCTTGGTGAGACGTTGGTGGCCATAGATCTCCATTTTTTCCTGGTCTCCCATCATCGTCTGAAGCATTTATTTAGTTCATTAAAACGACTCCATTATTTCATGTTATCAGTCCATGTATTTGTCCTCCTTTTGCTCTTTTTCCATGTAGGTTTGTGTAAAGACCTTCTCACAGTGCGCATAAGCCAAACAACTCACCCAAAATAAAAATGTTTTCTTCTAATATTGTCTATTGACTCATGCCTAGTCTTCAACGTTGCTATAGCCTCTCTCTGCATTAAATACACTGCAGATCATATACTATCAATATATTAGCTTGTTAAACTACTGTGTTCATATATGTGAGAAACTGGCTAGAAGCACAAATATGACAGTCCATCTTTCCCTTACGTTCAGGCTTCCTATGACTTTTTGATAATTTTTGGTGACATTGATTTGTCTCTCTCCAATGCAGGGGACAAGTATTGGCGATACCGTGGTTTTGCAAGTGATCCTGGTTATCCCAAGATGATGTCCAGCACTGGGCTTCCCAGCAATGTCGATGCAGCCCTCATGTTTCGGGACAGGATCTACGTGTTTAAGGTCTGTGAGGCATGCCAGGGAAGAAACAAGGCAATGCTCTTTCATATAATTAAACTGCTGTCTGGACTTTCTCAGGCTTAGGCCTTTGTGTATTAATTAACGCTAAATTTACCAATTCATGCTCGCCGTGTAGACATTAGATTTGTTGTTACATGAGTGCTTACCACAGCCAGTGTTTGTGTATTCAAGGCCATACATTAGGGTGGCGCAGTGCTAATGATGGTGCCTTAGTGCAAGATTCTGGGTTAAATTCTGGACTCAGGTGCCTTTCTGTGTAAAGTTTGTGTTCTCCCCCTGTTCTGCATGGGGTTCCTCTGTGGTCTGTCACCTCACCTTAGCTAAAAACACAATGTAACTGGTACTGGCCAAACATCCCAGTGCTGAAAAATTACCTCCATTATTATTCAATTTGGATTGCGCATAGCGATATCGTCCCCAAATGCAAAAAGTGTCTCGAAACTCTGGTGAGGATTTCGTGGGGAAATGAGCGTTATAAAAATAATAACAACACTTTGAGACGTGATGCATCATGGATTGTGCACTGCGAAAAACCATGGCGATGATGTTGTGCATGTCCTGCAGGGCGGCGAGTACTGGCGCTGGAATGAATATCACGAGCAAGCCGTGCACGGGTACCCAAGGAAGATGGCAACCACGTGGCGCGGCGTGCCCTCGTCCCCCGACGCTGCGCTCACCTGGGGCAATGGACAATCCTTCTTCTTCAAGGACGGGCGCTACTGGCGCATCAACTCGCATTCGCGGCGCACGGAGCCCGGCTACCCGAGGGGCACGGCGGCCGTCTGGATGGGATGCTCACGTTCCCTCAAGCAGCACGACGTCGTTTGGGATGACGTCGGGACGACGATGGTGCATTGAGAGGCTTCGGCCTGGATGGGTTCTTCTCTCGGGAACAGAGCGAATCTGACAATGGCTTTTGAGGGGGGGGGGGTTATGATTTTGATTTTAATTACCATGATTTAATACCACGCTTTTAATAGAGCACCAGTAATCAGAGATTCTGACGTGATTTTTTTATTGTAATTGATCAATAAACACTGTTACCAAAAACATGTTAATCCGACGTGCTATTTCACTGCTTCCTGAAATTATGGCAGCCTTCGCCATTCATAAGTCCCCTGTACTATGGTGCCCCACAAGCTCTATCATCAGCCTTCTGCTCTTCTCATCATATTTTTAACTTGGCAAAATCATCTTCAGCTGTAATGTCATCCATCTATTCTGTGACGATAATATTCCACTGCTGCATCACCATTCACTCCATTAACCCAACCTCACTGTCCACTCTCATATACTGCCATGACACATTCTCATCTTACATGGGTACTAACTTCCTTCAGCTAAAACGTCTCGCAGAACCGCTAAGGCATGGCAAATACCATGCCTTAGCGGTCGTGTGTTAGTCACTCGCTGCAGGGGTTCACCGTTCGAAACCCAGCGCCGCAATCATCGCTGCAGGTGTCTACTTCACAGTAAAATTAGCACAGTTGCTACATACATTGCGAAATAAGTTCAACATACATACAGTCGACGTAAAGGATCTATTGACATCCTTTGCAAGACTAGGGCGCTGTGTGCCAGTGGCGGGGTCCAAATTTTGGAAATTTGAAATTACCCGCACATTACTCATTTAGGATTGTATATGGGACGCATCGCCTCCGACTGGCAGATTAATTCACAAGGTTACTCTTGCAAATTAGACTATCCTGATCACTTGATTTTTCACCTGGTTTAAACAAAATAAACGTGACACTTGAACTCCTTTGGGGTCTCCTTAAATCTCTCATTTCCAAAATCTATACGATGCAAAATGCTGTTAACACACCCATAAGGAAAACACACCCTAATCACCCTAATAGCACAATGCCTCCACTGGCTACCTTTGCAATATTGAATCAATATCAAGGTTGCATTCATTTTCTACATGGACCCTGCCCATCTCTCCTCTCATCTCACTCTACTCCCCTCCACACACTCCAGTCAAGTAACCAACGCTTCCTGTCAACGCCTTCAGTCAACCTTTTCTCAGTGGGAGGTCACTCGGTCTCCTCTGCTGTCTCCATGGTCTGGAACTCCCTTCCCCCACTTGTCTGTGTTGCCCTTGTTCAAGGCTGAAGGCTGTATTTCCTCTGCCTATGACTGACTACTCTTTAAAAAAATCCTGAGCATATAATTGAGTCGAATTCTCCTTCGCCAAATAAAAAAAGCACATTACAACCCACTTTATCTGGAACCATGATATTTAATCATTCATTTTTAAAGCAACTACAGTGGAAATTAGTGATACAATATATAAAAATAATAATTATGCTTTACAGTAGATAAACTGAACTTGTGATTAACATAGTACACAAGCCATAGGTAAAATGTGCATTAGAAATACATAACACTTGACATTTATAAAATAAGTGATTTTTCGAGGGTACATTTTCGTATAAAATCACATTTTCTAAAAGTGCATTGGACTAAAAACAGGTGTGTGCTATATAGACTATATTACAAGACCGGTTAGGAAAGATACAATCAATGGAGTTAGAAATGTTTCAAACTTAGAGTTGAATAGAATTGAAGTGGACATGTAATTTAAAATTAGTAATTTTAAAAGGTAGTAACTTTCTCTGAAAAGCCCAAAAACCTACTGCATTTACAGCCAATGGCCACGTGGATCGTGAGCTCGAGAAAAAAATTTCTTCAGCAGCCCGAGGATTGATATAATCTGACATCTTTTGCTCAATCATATTCGCCACAGTTCAGTTGAGGAATGAATCCAATAAAAGAATGATGCTCAATCAGTTTTGTGCTTCTTCACATCTTCTGCTAATACAACTTTCATTTATAAGGCGCTAAATCACGTAACCAAGCACCTGGAGATGTCGCAAAACACAGCTGTCAGAAAACAATCTGCAAGTGCAACCCACTTTAAGTGACATCAGGTACATACTTCTATATGTTCGAATGTTACTTAAATAACAAAAATCATATATTTAGAGAATACTAACTACAGGCAATTAACACAAGCTTCACCTGCATGACATTTTCTAACAAAAAATACCATTTAACGCGACCTGTAATTATGTCAGGCATTCTTAAATTGACCTTTTGAGGGCTATTTGTCAAGGTGGGCTGAGGTCAGGACTCAGCACAAGCCATATTGAAAGGGGAAATCAATAAGCATGAATACACACTTGGGCAATAAAACAAAGCTCAATCACTTCTTCAGTCTCCCAGACCTGGTGTAGCTGTTGGTGTGATAGACACCACAAACAGCAACATCAAAATATTCCCTGCAATTGAGCAGTGGGGAATAATAAAAACACAAACTCTTGAGACAATATAGAACCCTCCTGCGAAAGCATAATCATCGGGACAGTTTGATCTACAAATGAATGTTTTTCCATGGAACCATGGGCAAGTAAAATTTACCTGAGCATTGCAGTGGTCTGGGTAAATAAGAGCAGTCCACATTGTGCAGGTGGAAGCAATTTTCGTCACACAAAAAAGTAATTATCACTCGCCTATTAGGACTGGGGAAAACGTGTTTTTTTTACAGTTAAATTTAAAGACTTGTAACACTTTTCGGAAGGCGTAATTATCGTCAAGCAATGCGTCAAGTGAAGGGTCCCGTGTCTGAGCCGCCTCGTCGATGTCACAGTTCCGTGGTCAGCAGCCTCCTCGTGCTGGTAGAGCCTGGCCTGTCCCGGCCACTGCTGGCTTCAGAGACCCTGCAGTGAAAACCACATATATGTAAAGTATGTATGCTGAACTTATTTAGCACCGTACATAGCCAACCGTGCTAATTGGAGGTGCCTTCACTGCAAGCGGGCAGCTCATTATGAGTTAAAATAAATCATTAGTACATTTGCCATTTGTGCCACGATCATAGCACAAGGCTATCATGAAGGTGCTAAGTTTCACAGACAGGTAGTCTGCTAATAGTGGGTGATGGTTCTAGCTGATTTGCCCATGTTACTAATTAGCAGTTAATTTTACAAATCCAGCAAATGTAACCATGACGCCAGCACATCTGACCTACTTAATTTAAAATAACGTAACTTGGATATTTAACATCCATTGTGAAGCAGATGGCTCGTGTATTTGGTTGTGACACACGCAGTATTAACGAAGGTGGCTGTCAAGCTTGAACCACAAACCTCTACAAAAAGCAGTAACCAGCCATGTCAATCGGTAAAAAGGCAATGCCACTGATAATATCGGTCAACACCTACGACTTGAAGACTTTGCCAAAATGTGGTGTTGTGATTAAAAATCTAATAATTGACTAGTCCCTTGTCTCGCTCTATCAGTTTTTTTAAAATCTTTTTTGTACAGTTTTGTCCACTCAATAAGTCTACATGCACCATTAGCATATACATTGCATACATTGCGCATAATCTGTTCTCATATGCACCGTTCAATGTGTGTATCATGAACTTAAGAATCAACTTTAATCAATAAAATCGTCACATCACTGAGGAAGATGCATGACCACGCTGTCAGTGACGATGGTGGTAATGACATGAATGATGCCATATGATAATGATCATGCCAATGATGATGTCAATAACCAATGATGATGTGGTGGCTGCTGATGTCAGTAACCAGTGATGATGCGGATGATCAGCATGAATATACTGCTGCTGCTGGTGATGATGAGGTGGCTGCTGCTGCTGCTGTTGATCATTACAATGATGATGATGGGGATGATTGTGAAGGTACTGCCGATGTTGGTGATGAGAACGCCACTGACACTAACGGTGATAATCATGATGGTGCGGGTGACCTGGGAGGGAGTTCGTGGACAGGGTCTTTCCCGAGCATCGCCGGGATGCTCCTCGTCACAGGGCCAAAACTTGTCTCGAGCAGCACGGTGCTCCGCATGCCCGGCTTGCATGCAGTCAGTGGCACACTATCCCCGGCACACTTCACCTGAATGAACACACAATTGCAGCGAGCTTGAGGCTTTGGAAAGGGAGGTTGAGTCGGTTCAATAGCGCACACAGCACCAGGGTCTAATTATAGATCTAAGTAATATGTGAGATGTCTCAATATCCTGGGTACTTTAATTACCTGATCAAAGGAAATTAATATTGATATTTTCATGTGATATACTCTACTGCCATTAGTGAAGGAATTATTGATGACATTCATTTTCTGAAATGTATATACTTAGCCAAAATACAGGGAAGTGATTTACATACAGTTCGATTAACTCATCTACGTAAGTTTGATTCTCAGCCATGGCTAAGATCATCCATCTCCTACCCCCACCCCCTCAACCAATCAAAAAAACTGTTTTGAGGAAAGATTTTTCGACCATTAACCACATACATACTATCAATCACATTCTCTGATGGGCAAATGCCTTTCAAATACATTTATTCCTAGCTTTTAATAGACCATGAAAAGGCATTAGATTCAGTGGAAATTTGATGTAGTAGAACCACATGCATTTATCCAAGCTTTCACAAATCGAGGGGTTAATAGAAATAAATATATAGATAAATTATCCAACCATTTATATATTTTTTTAGTCATGTGAGCTTTGGTCAATATTTTAACTTTTTATCGTTTGAAGCAGCAAAACAAGGCTGTGATTTGTGTATGTTTTAAAAATAAATATTAAATAAACAATCAAAACAATTATATATTGGGTGGTTTAACTGGAGTGCCCACTGTTGCATGAGGAGTCAGGTATTTCACGAGGTTGCTGGGCACGTCAGGAATCTGAAAATGAAAACACTGATATTAAAGTGAAAAACACAAGTTGTTATTCATGTAACTCACTCGCTCTCACTTTCCCATTCCCACTTGTTACTTCCCCCCCCCCCCTCCCCAATTTCTGAGCTCGGATCTGCAAAGTAATGACCGTCTTCCCTCTCATTGCACAATGCACACTTGTGACCTTGTTTATTGACCTGCAGGGAAATTGGTAAACATTTTGTGGATTTCATAAGTTGTATTGCACAAAATAAACATGTGTATTCCTCTTACAGTCATAAGACGGGTGGTGGGTTAAAGAATTGGTACATACGGTCACAAGCACAAACTTAACACAAGAGAGTTAATATATCTCTTAAGTCACAGTACTTGACTAAAATTAACATGGTATAAACGACCATGTTATCTGATGGAAATTAAATGGGGGCTTTGGATTAATTTTGAATTGTATCACCTGCATACACTGGCGGAGCCAGTGGGGGGGGGGGTGGTACGTGCTCCCCCAATGATCCGATCGAAATCCCTAATTTCGTTTGGATCATTGGGGTTTATTAGTAATACATCGGCATTTTGCGACCCCCACTGCCACTGTGTAGCATATTATTACGTGCCAGGGACTCTATGAGATGATAGGACAATAGTCTGAGTCCATAATTGGCAATAAGTAACGGCAAAGCAGTTATAAGTGACTTAGAATTGTGCGCAGTTGCGCATAGTACACGACTTCCCTGAAGGCATCAACACCTTCAGCGAGCGCGATCCCGATCACACAACGCGGTTCGAATTCGACCCTCGATCGATGGCTGCGCCATCGCCGCAGACGCGTCAGATAAAAAGCAAGGGACAAGTCCTTACTTAATAACAACTCTTTACTTACTAACAACTCCTCTATCATTTTTCATTGCTGGAGGGGTTGCCCCCCACTACCTGAATATCCTGGCTCTGCCACTGCCTGCATAGCAGACAGAACGTGGTGTGCAATGTGTACAGACCATCTGGACTCTGGATGCTGTCAAATGGTCATTGACATGCACATGCTTTTTCAGCACCAGGAGACCACGTCGCATTTCTTCCTCATGAATAACTCGCTCTTCCACAGGGCTTAAAAGTGTTAACTCAGCTATTGCACTCAACATATATGCGTACACACCAAGAAGATGCAGACCACAGAGTAAGGCTATGCACAAGTGTAGTGTTGACAAAGGAGGCAGAGACTTCTTCGTAGGCAACACTCTTTATTTACTCTAACGGTAGAGAACGTCCCTAACACAGAGAGGTGAAGGCCTCTCCCACCCGATAGCCTAGAGGATGATGCGTCCTCACACTTAGCGTGCCCTCACACTATACTCTGCTTAATGGGTACCGCCACTGGGCCGTTCCTCCTGGCACTGACAAGGGCCGGAGGTCGGAAGTCCCAGGGCACTATCTCGATGTCTTGAGTCTTGAGGTGAGTGCGGACTGACTCATGCTGGGAGAGCTGCTGCTGCCCTTTATATCCTTCCTCTCCCAAGCGTCCTGTCTCGAGAGGGTCTGGGTCCAACCGTTGGCCCCCCCCAGCCCCCTCCCGCAGTGGGCTCTGGCCTCCTCACCCCTGTCAACGGTTATTGTACTCGTGACTCATACAATACTGCTATGCAGGCAAGTATACATGTTGCGCTTAACAATGCCGCTACACATGCACACTCAGTAAGACTCCCAGTAAAAATTGTAGAGTCCTTCCGCTTCCTGGGCACTATTCTCTCCCGGGACCTCAAGTGGGAATTGAACATCAGCTCCCTCACCAAGAAAGCTCAACAGAGGATGTACTTTCTACGGCAGCTGAAGAAATTCAACCTGCCAAAGACAATGATGGTGCAATTCTATACAGCGATCATTGAATCCATCCTCACCTCCTCCATAACCGTCTGGTACGCTGCTGCCACTGCCAAGGACAAGAGCAGACTGCAGCGTATCATCCACACTGCTGAGAAGGTAATTGCCTGCAATCTACCGACCCTCGAGGACCTGCACACGACAAGGTCTATGAGGCGAGCGAGGAAGATTATGGCCGATTTCTCCCACCCTGGACACTCTCTTTCAGCTACTCCCCTCCGGCAGAAGGCTTCGGTCCATCAGGACCAAAACCTCACGCCATAAAAACAGTTTCTTCCCATCTGCTGCTGGCCTGTTAAACAAGGCCAAGGGCTAACACTGTTTTTAACATTTGATCTACATAACGACACGTTGCTGATATTAACTATGTTTCCCTATTTGTATTTTTAAATTATATCTTAAAGCTATTTTATATTCGATATTTATTTAATTTTATATAATTCAGCCCCTTAGTGTTAGACTTTTAACCCTTATTATAGTAAGACTTGTTTAAAACTTATTTAAGATTTTAGATTCCTATATGTTGAATGTATGCACCATCCTGCCAAAGTAAATTCCGTGTCGGTGTGAACTTACATGGCGAATAAAACCCTTTCTGATGGCAATGTATTCATTTCCAGCAGCAATTTTAACTTGAATGTGAATAATATCCACGTTTTGATTTAAAGCTTTCGTGACTGCAGTAATTCATATTCTTAGTTTTTTCGGTAAAGTCACGTTGAAGAGAAACAACAAAATAACAAAATATATATAAAACAATAAAAAATTCTCACGACGTTTCGACCATAACTCAAACGGTCATCATCAGGTGTGTCGGTTTGCAAACGTGACTTTACCGAAAAAACTAAGAATATAAATATCCACGTTGTTCCAATAAATTGCCACTTCCCCTTATTGATGGCCCTGATTTACAGTTTCAAATCATGCACTCTTGAAAACACAAATACTTTATCAGGTCTAATTGCTGTACATTCATTATCATTGATTAGGATCACTAGCAATAAACTTGTTTGTAAGCAATTACCACTTGCAATAGATTTAGGCTGCAATCTCACGTGATAAAATTTTAAGTGTGCCATGCAAACAGTACTGTGACCACAAAGTTGCTCTTCTAAAAGGGAAATATATTGCCCTATCTACAGGTAAATACGCCCTCGAGATACATGCGACAAGATTATTGGTGGCGGCTATTAACGCTTTCCTATTCTGAGATGTCTGCAAGTTGCAGGGTGGGTCCCATTCACCCCTAAAGCTCGGAACGCGCAAGCGGTTAGCACTAATTGTATTTAGAGAGGCATAGCGCCATTGTTTTTAAAGACATTGTACTCACCACAGAGAACTGTAGCGACACGACCGCACACTGTGTAATAGCTGGTGCCAAACTGTGCCACACGCCCTCCCACATGGCCTTGTAGGAGCCTCAGTACCGATAAAGTACATGTCATCGGAACAAATGACATGTACTTTAACGGAACAAAAACTGATGACGTACACGTACGTTATCAGAATGGGAAAGCGTTAACATGCCGAGAGATAACTTAGGGGACACACCACCGACGCACATGGGCAAGCGTATACATATATCTGCAGACGCACCAGAGGTGTTGTGTCGCTCACATCCACGAGTGTCTCCACTGCCGAGCCCAGGAGCCTGGGGCTTAGGAAGCTGGGCTGGAAGATGGAAAATTTGGGAATAAGCAAATGCACTCCAACACCCCTCCCCCTCCTCCCCCATTCTTATCTCTTTCGGACTACAACTCTAATTACTGATGTAAACGCCGGTGTTGTCCCCACTCAAATAGCAATTAGTTAGTGCTCATTCCCAAATAGGTCAATGAACCAGTGGTGGGAATTCCATATGGCATGGGTCAGTCACTCCATAAGGTAACTAATATTGACCTCTCAAAGAGCATATTTTATTGATGCGAATGGTATTATGGGCTTGCGAGAACTCACCCTCCCGGGATTTACAGTGAGGGAAAAAAGTATTTGATCCCCTGCTGATTTTGTATGTTTGCCCACTGACAAATAAATGATCAGTCTATAATTTTAATGGTAGGTTTATTTGAACAGTGAGAGACAGAATAACAACAAAAAAATAAAAAAACGCATGTCAAAAATGTTAGAAATTGATTTGCATTTTAATGAGGGAAATAAGTATTTGACCCCTCTGCAAAACATGACTTAGTACTTGGTGGCAAAACCCTTGTTGGCAATCACAGAGGTCAGACGTTTCTTGTAGTTGGCCACCAGGTTTGCGCACATCTCAGGAGGGATTTTGTCCCACTCCTCTTTGCAGATCTTCTCCAAGTCCTTAAGGTTTCGAAGCTGACGTTTGGCAACTCGTACCTTCAGCTCCCTCCACAGATTTTCTATGGGATTAAAGTCTGGAGACTGGCTAGGCCACTCCAGGACTTTAATGTGCTTCTTCTTGAGCCACTCCTTTGTTGCCTTGGCCGTGTGTTTTGGGTCATTGTCATGCTGGAATACCCATCCCCGACCCATTTTCAATGCCCTGGCTGAGGGAAGGAGGTTCTCACCAAAGATTTGATGGTACATGGCCCCGTCCATCGTCCCTTTGATGCGGTGAAGTTGTCCTGTCCCCTTAGCAGAAAAACACCCCCAAAGCATAATGTTTCCACCTCCATGTTTGACGGTGGGGATGGTGTTCTTGGGGTCATAGGCAGCATTCCTCCTCCTCCAAACACGGCGAGTTGAGTTGATGCCAAAGAGCTCCATTTTGGTCTCATCTGACCACAACACTTTCACCGAGTTGTCCTCTGAATCATTCAGATGTTCATTGGCAAATTTCAGACGGGCATGTATATGTGCTTTCTTGAGCAGGGGGACCTTGCGGGTGCTGCAGGATTTCAGTCCTTCACGGCGTAGTGTATTACCAATTGTTTTCTTGGTGACTATGATTCCAGCTGCCTTGAGATTATTGACAAGATCCTCCCGTGTAGTTCTGGGCTGATTCCTCACCGTTCTCATGATCATTGCAACTCCACGAGGTGAGATCTTGCATGGAGCCCCAGGCCGAGGGAGATTGACAGTCCTTTTGTGTTGCTTCCATTTGCAAATAATCGCACCAACGGTTGCCACCTTCTCACCAAGCTGCTTGGCAATGGTCTTGTAGCCCATTCCAGCCTTGTGTAGGTCTACAATCTTGTCCCCGACATCCTTGGAGAGCTCTTTGGTCTTGGCCATGGTGGATAGTTTGGAATCTGATTGATTGATTGCTTCTGTGGACAGGTGTCTTTTACACAGGTAACAAGCTGAGATTAGGAGCACTCCCTTTAAGAGTGTGCTCCTAATCTCAGCTCGTTACCTGTATAAAAGACACCTGGGAGCCATAAATCTTTCTGATTGAGAGGGGGTCAAATACTTATTTCCCTCACTAAAATGCAAATCAATTTATAACATTTTTGACATGCGTTTTTTCTGGATTTTGTTGTTGTTATTCTGTCTCTCACTGTTCAAATAAACCTACCACTAAAATTCTAGACTGATCATTTCTTTGTCAGTGGGCAAACGTACAGAACAGCAGGGGATCAAATACGTTTTTCCTTCACTGTATATTGCAAGCAGATTGTGCTGTCATGCTCAAACAGTAGCTCATCCAGCCGTTAATAAATTATGAAAGTCGGTTTAAGGCAGCAGTGAGAGTAAACAGGTTAATAATACACATTCCTGGGCACGTTCTGTACCAACGGTTTTGCCGGGGTGCTGGTGATGATCGGCTGGTCTGCCAGGTTGATGCAGCCACTGCCTCCATTGGGGACAGGCAGTTGGCTCGTCCCATCACAGGTCTCATCGCTGGGATCACATGCCAAGGGAGAGCCCAGACAGAGCCGATGAAAACATGTGGTCATGCACAGCGTGGATGCCGCACCATGTAATGTAATGCATTCCTTTAACTTAAATAAGACCGCAGGTATCAGTTTCAAGCACAGCAGCAGTGATGAGCTATACGTTTACACATTAAACAAAGTCACAAGACTCAAACTGATTTAGATGGTGCTCATCCAAATCCCAGCTCTACAAGGGCAAGGCTCTAGTATGAATATATTTAACACCGGTGGATGATGGGAGGCAGTTGCGAGTCTCGTTTAAATAAAATAAAATGCATGTTGTTTGTAGGCATGCCAGACGGCGCATCAATGTTTAACACGTAATTAATTCTTGCCACAAGCAGATCACATTGGGTGTATTCCTACAGTTTATTTGTTCAATGTTTTCCTCTTCAATGCCTTTTTAGATAAATAAAAAGCGAGGCTAATTTACAAAATTAGTCCTCAATATAATCGATAGAATTTTCAGTCTTTTAGAATTGCACTGAGTAAAGAAACAGAAAACAAATGGGGCTCTCACGTGATATGCTGGCTTGGGAATTTGCTCTTTCGAACGCCGTGGCCAGACTCCTCCGTGTCTCGTGCGCCCGCTACAGGCAGGCTGCTGTGTGCTGGACCTAGACGGCTGATAGAGCACGCAGACAACTTGAGTTGGACAATACGAATTACCTTAAACTCTGCCATTACTGGATACATGTGAAGTTACAAAAGTATATCGATATGTATAAAACTGTATATGCTTGCATATGCATGCCATATTTATAAATGATCCAGAAGAACACTGGTAAACAGAGTGGAAGCACATGGACATCCAGAATAAACACCTAATTCTAGACCCAAACATCGCACTTCCTGGCTTTGAGATTCCTCGAAGACAATGCCGTAGCCATCGACCGCATCAGAACATCAACAGGTCAATGCGTACATCTCCTTGATTTGTGGAAATTTAAAGACAATCCACAGTGCTACTGTGGCCATGCAATCTAAACTATGGGCCACATAGTAAACCACTGCAGTCTACGCTCCTGCAATGCAGGAGTATAAAGACTACACAAAATCTCTCCTGAGGACCTCTCATGGCTAGCAAACCTCGACATTGGCATTTAGCTCCTGAACAAATTGGCACACACAAGAATGAACTACTGCACTTATAAATGCACAATGACTCAAACACAGAATGGATCACAATAGTATTTTTCCCCAGCATACATGTATAGATAAATTAATTACGCACACAGTGTCCTAACCATAACTCCACAATGCCTCCGAGTGATGAATGGGTAATGAACGAATCAGAAATGTGTAGACAAGCAAGAGGTGGCTGCCCCCCTGTAGCCTCCCGTGTGCATCTCACCGGAACGCTTCCCCTTGGTCATGCGTGCTCCGACGTGAAATATTAATATCATCCTGCGTGACCTGAAAGGCAATACACAAATGAATAAACATGCACTACACCATGACCATTGTCACTTATGCTATTACGATGATATATAAATATGTATAAGCTATGTTGTGATACCACAGAAATTAAGCTTTTAGTCATACAGAAGAGCTTCGCTGAATATGCAACTTTATTTTCCCCGAGAGAGATGCGATCATGTTTGGTCACTTTCCTAACGAGGGCTATTACACACGAGGTTAAATTAGTCAGTAGTACCTGGAGACTCCCGTGTATAAGAATAGTTCAACAAGCTTTACTGTACTGTACTGCCATCTACTGGCCAACTCATACCACTTAAGATGTATGTCTAGGCACAAGAAGACAGAATAAGAATATGTATTTACACTGGAGGAATCCGATGAGCTATAAAGTTATTTTTCACAGATGTCCAGTAGGAGCGGGTCAGAACGTGACAACAACAAACAATACAAAAACACGATAGGAGTGCAAAGTATAGGAAAGGTAAACAAATCACTGTAAAAACATATGAATACAACTAAGCTATTGTATCTTATCAGGTAAAGCCTACTGAGCTATTAAGCTTTTTTCCAGAAGTGACCTGGTCACAAATGACAGCTCAACAAAGTCTAGCAATCCCTTCTTCAGAATAACAAAATAGTAACTAACGTCTTCTTAAAATATCTGTCAGTCCATTTAATTTTTCTAAAGTATTTCTTACACAAGCCATGGGTGGGAATGCAGAATTTCAGCAGCAATGTTTCAATACAGGCAAACCCTGAACTGGTTTCGAAATAGAATGTCTCATCAGCAGAGTCAGGCTTGCTTGAATCAATTCTGGTCAACTGCCGATTATATAGGCAAGGACCATCCCCTTACTTTATTGTGTCTAAGTTCGACAGAAAATTCTGGCTTACAGGTGTGCACCACCACTGCGTCTATTGTGCACACTGCCGCAGACTTAAGAAGGGTGAAGATTGTGAACCCACTCGGTCACATGCCACCGCACCTTGCCGCTCTCACGCAGCACGGCCTCCACCTGCGCTTTCAGGATGTTGCTCTTGAGCGACGGGTCCAGAGAGAGGCAGGGTGCACCCGCCCCTGGGTTTGCAATGAAGAGACCAGGGGGAGGCCAGGCTCCCGCCGGCGAACAGAGCAGAGAGCTGAAGGCGTGCGGAGGGATGGGACTGGAGGGATTGGGCTGCACCGTGCGTGAGCCGTCTTCGTGCCAAGTGTCGGAGGAGGCGGCCTGGATGGTGCCCTGGTTGTTTGAGGCACCAATGGTCACCGACGAGATTGGGTTAAGGTTGGACAGAGGAATAGAGGGAGAGCCCGTGGCTGCTGGGAAGGTGTTCAAAGTCTTCTCTTTTAACTTCACCTTATCCACCTGCATGGGAATCCAGAGACATGTCCATCAAACTCCACTATGGTGCAAAATCTTTGCAATACATTCATGAATATATTAGCTTTGGTATTTTATGATTCATGACCCCTTCGCAAGTCACACGAATTGTCAGAAAATGTGAGTTGCAAGTTGATTCAAGAAACGTTTATTTTTAAATATTGAAATGCATTGTAGAGGCAGGGGTGGCTACAGGAGAATGACTGCTTACAGTCCATACAATGTGCTGTATATAAATTTAACATTTTCGCACGCACAATTCAGTAAATGCACAGTGTGCAATAACAAACATTTTACTTTACCCACCATAAATTAATGCATGGTAAAGAGGTCTCAGCTAGCAGAGGTAAAGACTTATAAATGAATAACTTTGCAGGTATTTTCCTTGACGTTAATTAACTTAAAAAACCCATGAATCATTGATGTTAGATAAGGTGTTTTTGTTTTCCCTCCAATTTTTATTTACATGTGTAGCGTACTAATTCAGAGACACGAGGAGGTCTCTCTTGTTTATCCCGGCCTTCACAGCCATAGGGGATAACTACATACTGGGTCAGGATAGCCAACATGCTGCGAGACCCAAAGCTTGAAGAGTGCGAAGATCACGACGTCGACAGCACGACGAGTTCCACTCCAGATGGCAGTAGCCCCGAATGTGAGTCGGAGCTCGCCTTTTATCCTCCCCAGCGTGGCCAGGCTCTACCCTCGGCCCCGCACCCCTCTGGATCCCCCAGATGGCTCCGTGCCTTGCCCACATGTCCAACTGGTAGAACGGATTGCTACCCCCAATCCCATTGTCTACCAATCTCCCAGCGCCACGCGCTAGAGTGACTCATTCAATGTCACTACACATGTACTGAGAGATCTAAAGTTGGCTTCCATTCATAACTTCTCCACCATGCAAAAACAACAGCGTGATAGCACGAGATGGCTGATGATGGAATGAGTAGAGTCTGGTATTTGTGGGTCGAAATGCTTTCTGTTCAGATCTCAACTGGAGGCCAAGTGCCTCCGGGCCATGGTTTAACTCAGTGCGACCTAGCGTCACATGCGTCCTCTATGCAGTCGCGTATGAGGCCACTCATACCGCAGCGGTACAATGGGATGTGTAGGACAAACGGCACGCAATAATTTCCGAATGCTCTGACAAGACATTTGCATATTCCATTAGGCTGGTGGAGCACGACTGGTTTGGTAAGATTATTGCCGGAGGCTGGGAGGTGAGGAAGCAGTACCGCCAGGTTGTTGACGTTAATGTCGAGTGGGTTGCGGGCCGGGCGCGCTGGGCTGTTCTCAATCTCAAGCTGCTTGAGGCGTGCAGCTGCCTCCTCATAGCCTGGCTCCACGGACACACGGACGGGCAGACACACGCAAGCACACACATGGGCGGACACACACGCGGACACATAGACACACGCGCGGACACACAGACGCACAGATGTGGACAAAGCAGTCACGTACACAAGCGACTCGTGGTGCGCACACACAGACGAGTACAACCCCTGGTAAACACGTAGCGTTTGGCCAACTTTAGTCCCAACGGTTCCAACCACATGCCACGGTTTGCCCAACGTTGGTATGTTTACAGGGACGTTAAGGGTGCACAATAACACCTTCAGAAAAGCACATGCAAATGTATAAAAGCACTTGCGAACAATACAGACACGTAGTCGTGCTCATCTCGGAACATGTGTGCTAGAGCTTTTAGAAGGATTAATTAGTGTTTGTCATAATTATTTTGAATGGTTTTGATCTTTTCATATTTCTAGGAACTGTGGTGAATAACATTTCTGTGTAAGGTACTTCAGAGAAATGGAATAATCAGTGGCTTGTATGAGTAACTGTAATGTTTTTACTATTATTGTATTCATGTAAAAGTCGGGGAAGGTTATTAATCCACCTTGTAAGAAAAATCACCGAGCCATAATTATATTTTGCATTTTTAGAAAGCCGGTTTCAAATATACAGTAGTATTTTTATATTCTTTGGGTCATTCGGTGAAGCCACGTAGATAGAAAAGTAAACGTAGTATTTTCTTGTACACGCGCATTTACTAATACTAGTCTTGTGTGAAAGATCTCATTACATGAACAAAGACTGAACATTGTACATTGCAGGTGGCATGATATGTGCAACTCGTGAAAAATCAACTGCAGGACTCCGGCGGGGGTTGGTGATGGTGGGGGGGGGGGCATTTAAACGCCCTGCACAAGGCATCGCCCCAGTAAACATGGAACGTTGGGCCAACGTTTGTCCGACGGTTCCAAACCACGTGCGAAAGTTGGCCCAACATTGGCATGTACAGGGTTTCAGCGGTGGCGGTGTGCACCTGAATTAATGTTCAGATATACACACACACACCTAACGTGTGTTTATATATCTGAAGTGTATCTGTCACCGCAGGGACGCCCGCGCCGATGGTTCCTCTCGAAGGTGACTCTCACCTTTGCCATGCGTGGAAAGAAGAGCGGCGGACAAAGACGAAGTAGGCTTTCGCGACCAATATTATCCGTCACGAGAGGTTTTTTTTGGGTTAGAGTGCGTAAATGTGTCGTTAAACCCGCCACCACCCGACACAGGCCAATTACTAAGATTTGCCACGTAAACGATACCCGTCAATTCGTTACTAATTCAGCACACCGGTGTGTTGGAGAGTAGTTGAACTAGAACTGTTGTGGGGTTACTCTCCAACACTCCAGTGTGCTGAACTAGTCACGAATTGGCATGTTTTGTTGACATGACAAACCTTACTAATTGGCTGTGTCAGCGTGGTGGTGGGTTTAAGGGGCCGTCCATAAATGACGTCACGCAATTTTGGACGATTTTTTACCCCCCCCCTCGTCACACAGTGTCACAAAAAGTCAGACCCCCCCCTCAAATATGACGTCACAAAGCTCTGCCCCCCCCCCCCAAATAAAACATGCTTCATATCGCTTTAAACTATTGTCATTGTAGTGCGTATTTAATGTGGCGCAGCACTCTGATGTTGTAGGAGAAAACATTTATTAAAAAGTCTATTTAATTAAGTAGAACGTGTTGTCTATATTTATTTAAAGTTGCGCATTTCGATGTGACGTCACATTTCCCAAACCCCCCCTCACCCCCTAGGTGCGTGACGTCATTTATGGACGGCCCCTAACGACACATTTATATTCAAGGCGATCCAACCCAACCACCACCACCACCACCTATTGTGTGTCGTGTACGCCCTTACCTGGGTCTGCGGCCATCGGCTTGGTGGGTGAAGCCACGCGATGGGGGAACCAGCCCGGCACGAGCCTCTCCGCGGCAACAGCGGAGGCGACGGCGTCGGCGGCGTCGTTGGCGTCGTCATTGGCCGTGACGGGCAGGTCGCTGCTGCCTGGGGTCACAGAGGGGCCGCTACACACAGCACAGACGTGGTGGGTCACAGCTGCCCCACTGTTCCCGCAGCAGGCTGCTTCGCAGGGCACTCCGCCTAGCTGGCCATGAGATCTCGTGGGGTTGCTGGCAGAAGTCTTCTCCGCTGCGGTGCGCAGAGACAAAGACCCACCGTTGTGGCCTTAGCAGACTGTAGGAGCAAGTGCTTTTAGCGAGCACCTATGGAGGCTGGCACCGGCAAACGAGAGGGTGGGTGGCCAGCACCACAAAAAGACAAAACAAGAACACACATATCCTCCCCTCCCCCCCCCCAAACCGAACTTCAACTGTCATGAACCTGCCAAACATGTTTTTAAATCTCCATATCTTCTTCTTCCCGTAGTTTTGCCCTGAAAAATGGTGTTTTAACAAACACGAAGGCCAGGCTTGACCAAATGTATAAACACTGCCACATTCCAGACATCAGTCATGAATCCATCTCCTTTGCATAGGAAAGCACCATGATAACACACAGACTGCCTTGAAGCCCTTCGTCAAAAAGCATGCAGGAACCATCTGCTAAACACACATACGTATACATAGGGCAAGGCAGTTTCTCACATACGATCGCCCACTCAAGAATTCAAAACTACTGCAACACAAAACCAAGAATGTCGCCGATTGCCCCGAAAGGATTCAGGTTTACTTTTTTTAAACACTGCAGATTATCTGTGCAAAAGCACTTCTGTAGAGGAATGTGGGCATGCCAGAATAATAGCCTCGTCCCATGAGAAGTTTCTGCTATTGAGGCGGTATCAGGTCAAGGTTGTGTCAATGTTAAAAGTTTATAATCGTCGTCAGAATTTTTGATGATGACATTAAATTACATGCCACAACAGCTTCCTACAGAATCACATGTCTTTTTAAGTGTTGTTAAATGGGCGATGTAAACAATTGGAATAAGGTGTGACTTTGTTAAATCACTGTGATTTATTTATAGTTCACTGCGTACTTTAATTCACGGTTATTACTTATATACAGTGTGCCAATGCAATTACGTATGATGGAAAATATAATCGAATATTTAATTTACGGGCAGACTCACATTTAATATTTTATTTTTCAACAGTCACCCCAAACAAAACGAACATATTGCTTTGTAATGTTTAACACAAAGACGGCGCTTCGAAATAAGCCCAGTGTAAGATCGATGCAACTTGTTGGAGCTCTCACAGTGTAAACACATTTCAACCTCCCCTTGCATCGACGCAGCACATTGTGTATATGTAGGTTAGTAAAAATACATGCGAAATTAAATGAAGAGATACGTACACATTTTCAACTATGCATCCCCAAACGCACAAAGCAATGTATACTGCATTTATAGTACACCGTTACATTTAAAGTGGTTAGGTGTTGATTCAGCGCCATATAAATCTGGAAGACCCACACACTCAGTGAGGAATAAACACAGTTAAGCTCGAGGCCAGAAGTAGTCCCACACCTCTAGCACCACTCTCTCTCTCGAACCTGACTTTTACTTTAGCACTTTCCCAGATGACACCTGCATCAAAGAGCACTCGATATACTCTGAGCAAGATTTATACAAGTCCTCGTGCACAGGTGTTTCGTGAAATTAGAGTGCATTGGAAGGGCATGGATGACAATGCTAAGGTGGTTGCTCTACTCAGGTAGAGGAGGAGGAATGAAGGAGTTAGAGCTTTAGGATGGGGATAGTATGGGACATGTGATGAGAAGACAAAAATAAAGATATTAATTACACGGGCATTGGAGGATGCCGGTGCAGGGCAGCAGTAGAGGGAGACCTAGGATGATATTAAAAGATGTGGTGGAATGAGATATGAGAACATTGGATGTGACTCGAGAAGAAGCACAGGATATAGGTAAATGGGATAAAGAAAATCTGAGCAGCCATGCAATAATGAGACCTGTGGTTTAGGAAAATAAGTACAAGTGGTTTGCTCAGTGCAGACACCCAGCAGCAAACACCCCACCAATCAATGATTCTGAAGATGCCTGCATTACAGAAAAAGCACACATCTAAGCAAAAATATATAAGAAATACACTCACGTATTTCTATAAAGCCACAAGGTAAAATCGTCACCTAAAGAGCCAATGCAAAATATATTTTTTACATCTGCTGACCATTATATTTAGGGCTAGAAGTACATTAAATTTGAGTATACTTGATAACTGCAAGCAATATTGTACATTGAAATTAGTCAGTAGCCACTTGTCCCTACATTCAAATATTTGCTAGTAAGAAAATAACTTAAATGCAAATCGGTTTTTTCATTGAAATATATTTGTGTACGAGTGAAAATGTAACAGTGACTGGAATACAGCAAAAATGTGAGCAAAATAAAATGTAATATGTTAGAAGATGCCCTTCATAAATGAACCGCTGTGAATCCAAACATACATTACTGTATGTAATTGCACAGCCTTTTGTAAATCCACTGCTGGATCATTTAGACCATACTTCACCATGCTGATCACTGCGGATTCAGTGCGAGTTGTTGCAGGTGGGGAGCATTGACATGGGAGCATACAAGTACGTTGCAAAATGTTATTTTGCTGCACTGCTGTCCACCAGGTATCCCCACGGTGCAAAACAACCTGTTGGCCATGGTGGTCACCCACCCATCCATGGACTATCCAGGCTCAATCTTGCAAATCCAGGTGATTTGGTCATAGGCCATTACTATAAATACAGATAGAATTGTCACGTTATATACACATTATGCATTTATAAACATATATAGTTGGAAAGTTAGGTATACTTCATGAAAAGAGCTTGTTCTGTCCTTAATATAACATTTCCATTCAAAAAATATATCCAGCTTTGGCATTAAAGCCATATACGGAACACGGTGAAACAACAAACTCATATATCCATCCTACCCTGCATCTTAACAAATCCACCACCAATGTTCGTAACAACTGCAAAGCTGTTAAAAGAAGAACGGTTGAGTAATCAGTAACCTTAAAAGAATAAGATGGTTCACAGCACTGCAGATGCAAGTTAAATCTTCTTTTAAATATTTCTGATTATATTTCAACAAATCAAATGGTACATTTTCTACAATATGATTGCAGTGCAATCAAAACTCTCACTAAGCTAAACAAATAAAATGTCTCATATAAACAATGTGTGCTTGCGTTTTTTCATTGCACCTTTGTTTATCTTTTCAACTGCTCACCTGAAAAATGACAAAGACAAGAGCTCTCTGTTTATCACTACACTGATTCCCAAGTATGATTGTAGTAATACACAAAGCTAGCTTTGACAGGCCACAAGTGCCACCGGTCAAGGATTAGCACTGTTACTGTGCCCACATCTTGATGCACTTTCCAAACATTGACAGGTTTGGCAGCTTACACAGTTCATTGTGCCTTGCTTTGGGAACCATACACAGATTTTTGGAAGACTGATACCATTCTCCATGTAGCTACCTCATCACTATTCGCACATAACACAGCACATGTATGCATGTTGAACTCCTTTCGCACCGTATGTAGCCAACCGCGCTAAATGGAAGTGCGGGTTAATAGATCTGATTATGTGGGGGACGAAGGGGGTGGGGGTAAGTGGGGAGGGGCTTTTATAAAACCTGAAATCAACCTCAGCCACACAATCACCATACTCCAATACCATACCAAACTGCTTCAGTTACATATGGGCACCTTCGCTCACACACAATACAAAACAGATTTTGTAAAATAAAATAATTGAGTATTTCTCAGCTAGACTGTGATTTTGAAACATGTTTCAAAGACATTTTTTTTATTATCATCCCTTGCTTGTAAGTGTCAAAGGCAGAAGTTATATTTGTGAAGAACCTACTTTAGGAATATTTGCTAAACATATTTAAAACTTCAAACAAAGAGCTCAGAGATAATCCACCGAACTGGAGGAAGCAAAATATACTGCACTGCATTGACTCTACAAAAAATTTAGTTTTGAGGTATGTTTAGCTCACTGCAAGTTTGAAAAACAAGATTTTCCACTTCTAGCTATGTATGTTAAACAGCAATAACAACAATACAGTACTGGAGTATGTTTTTTCCTCTACAAGAAGGAATTATTTGTACATAAAAGTGTACATGTTTACCGATAAGTGCTGCAGGAATATTCTACATGCACAACAGAATGTCAGCAATGCTGAGCCTGTGAACTCACTCGTCTCTCCGTCTTTCTCATTGAAAGCTTCACCATTCTATATATTTTTCCTTCATTTTTATTTAGTTTGGATTTTAGTTTTCGCCGCATCATATCCGCAGTCATCCTCAGAGCTCAGTGGTGGGAGTGGGCTGGCTGTGAGCGGATCCTCCGTGATAAGCGGGCCCGGTGCCTCCCTGGTTCGGGCCCATCCCGTGACCCCACTCCTCTCGTGCGGGGTCAGAGTTCACCCGCACCCTGTTGGGCTCACCCGCTGGCCTGCGTTGAGGTTCACAAGTGGGGTCGTTGGGAAGGGTTTGTTAGTGCATGCTGGCTCATCCAATCCAAACGATGCCAATGGTTATAACGCAGCAGGGTACTGCTTAGCAAGTCAAATGTGAGCACTGTGAACAAGCGGAGTGGGGGTTGCAGCTGCAGCCGGTGAGCATTAGCATCATAATTGCTTCTAAAAGCGAGCACGAGCAAGCACCACGAATGCACATTTTGCGTGTGCGCATGCAACCATAAGTGCATTTTTCCAATCAGCCATTAATAGAATCATTAGATTGGCTTGCACATTTATGGCCTTTTGTTATTAGAAAAGATAAGTCAAAACATTGCAAAACATTTTAATGGGTTAATTAGGGGCAAAAGAGTGCAGGCATGAGGCACTAAAGAGTGTATTTTGATTTGATGTCGTGTACACATGCAAATGTGTATTTTCTTATGGGAATGTTACATACTGAGGTGCTAAGAAAACGAATTTGTTTGTTATAAAGTAATTAACCATGCTATTATGAAAGTAAAAAATGCTACCTATTGGACTACACAGGCAGCATTCCCACGAATGAGTTAGGTATTTATAGCCTTGTTGTTTTCTAACCATGAATATAATGCTTAAATCCAGCTGTTAACATAATAGTTGCCCATTTAACAGCAGAGTAAATAATCTTCACCAATCAACAATACCGCTCTGCGTGATCAGCAGGTGGCCAAACAATCTATTCTTCGGTTACAAAAGCAGCAATCAGAGGACATCAGACAGGAAGAGACCCACCAGATATTTTAAAAGGACAAAATGCCAATACAAAGTAGAGCAGCGCTCACCACCACCACCACTTACTACAGCACAGAGAATTGGGCGTCCACCCCTGCCAAGCCAATCTCTGCTTGGCAGGTAGTAAGCCAACCAAGGAACACCAAAACCAATCAATCTGGAAAAAGCGACCAACAAATCAGATGAGGGCTGTGCAGAAGCCAGAGGGGGGAAAGCCACCACCAAAAGACGAACTGGCCAGCCCCCCCACCTTCACATTGGCAAAGCGACACGCGCACACTCACATTTACTCTCTCTCACGTACAAACATTGCAGAAATCATGTCAATCGGAGAACAGCACGAGCGGAAGAATCGGCAGCCACGAATTGAATTGAAGCTTACACATTTCAACAGTTCTAAGATACAATGTGACAATGTAAAACTTGTAATAACACAAAATCCTGCATCACAATGTGATTTGCAAATATGTGTGAACATGATAGAATTCCACAGATGTGCTGAAATAAAACTTGTAGGAGCTGGTTAAAGGCTACGCACCGAGGGTTGCTGGCCATTTGGTTGGATTCGAGGTGCATGCCTCCTGCAGGCAGAGATGCAACCTCAGGGAATGAGGACCCAGCCTGGGACCGAGGATGAGAAGGCACAAGGAACCAGAGAAAGGGCACCAACAAAGTCATTGCGCAATGAATTTAACAACACTCCACATAACGAATCAAACGTGAAAGGCACTGTACTAAACATGTAACATTTCACCAGTAAATTGATTGTCACAATTCATGAAAGGCACTATAATAAACATGTAACATTTCACCAGTAAATTGATTATCACAATTCATGAAAGGCACTATACTAAACATGTAACATTTCACCAGTAAATTGATTATCACAATTCATGAAAGGCACTATACTAAACATGTAACATTTCACCAGTAAATTGATTATCACAATTCATGAAAGGCACTATACTAAACATGTAACATTTCGCCAGTAAATTGATTATCACAATTCATGAAAGGCACTATACTAAACATGTAACATTTCACCAGTAAATTGATTGTCACAATTCATGAAATGCACTATACTAAACATGTAACATTTCACCAGTAAATTGATTATCACAATTCATGAAAGGCACTATACTAAACATGTAACATTTCACCGGTAAATTTGATTATCACAATTCAAGTTGCAATGATAGTATAAACAGTCTGGGAAATTGTAATAGCGTGGCAGGAATTGAATGCATCTTGGTGAATTTCACGACAGAATTTTGCAGAGTTTTATTAAACCTAGGCCAGGGGGTTGGCAACCAAGAGCCATTTTTTTTATAATTCAGTAAAAAAAAAATATTTCAAGAGCCGCAATTCACGTGAATACGAGACGGTGGTCCTTACTTAGTAATGTCACGAAGCAGTCCATACTTAGCCGCATACGGCCATGAAGATGCAGGTTGCCGATCCCTGACTTAGGCCGACTAAGAAAAATGCTGTACAGTAAATCCAATTAAGTTTGTGGAAAAAGGGTGGCAACTCGAGTTGAAGCTCACCTGTTTATTTGCTGTAGCAGTCGTAATGCTGCAAACGCGGAGAGGAGCAAGCACACGAACAACAACACATGCTATAGTCAGAAACAAGAGAGGACACACTGCATCGTTCACTTCAAACATAACCCGCAGCACCTATCACCGTTGGATTGTATGCAAAGCAAGCTGCTTACCAACTATTTTGTGTAGCAGTACAAATCAGTGCCCCACTCACTACACATCACCATGTGGCTTGCAAAAGGAAACTTTAATATGCCCTTCAGAATGAGGCTGTTGCACAACGGAATTTACCTTCATATTATCTTAAGTGCGTCAGAAGAAACTAACCTTTTTGGAGGAATTCTTTGCACAGCGTTAACTGCAAAATAGAAAGAACATTTGAAAATGCAAACCATAGATTTTTTTTCTTGTCATTGATAAGCTCACCAACACTTTGTAATTTGCTTGATAAAAACACCATGAATTCGAGAATGTTCTTTTCAACGAGGATACTATAATGAACCAATCTATCTAAGAAACAAAAGCGCAGTCTGTGGGTATTAACTTTCCTTCTTGACATTTTTGTGAGTAAATTTATTGAGTGTTGCTTTGACAGACTATTTTTTTTATTTTCCACTTACACTTTTGGAAGGAAGGCCTGCGGGAATAACGCTTGCTTGGCCTGCGCTCAAATGAGGTGGAGCGGCGTGCCTTGCCCATCCTTGTTGTCTGGTACTCAGTACGCCCACTGCCGACACACCACCGTAGTCGTCATCATCATCATCATCATAAAAAGTCAGGAAACGCCACGCTGTATTTCCACAACCATCTTCAAATAGCTGTCGTAGTAACGTTCATTGCGCCAAACAATCCCGTACGTCAAACAGGCCGCCACAGCTGGTACGCGATTTGATATTTCCTCCGGTGAATCGCGACCTCTTTCTGCCATGGTAGAGATGCGAGGAGCGAGGAGACTGACCAAAGAAGCGCACCTGTGCCACGAACCCTGACCTGTAGCGGAAGCGCGATCCCATGCGGATGAAGTCCTGCCTCTCTTTGGCGTTTTGTGTTGGGCCACGCAGCCGGAAGAAGGCGTGGTGCTCCACAGCGCACTTCCACAGGTGCTTGCAGGCCTTGGGGTGGTCCATGCGGAACACAAACTTGTGCTCGTTCTCCTTGCCCTGTCCGTACACACGGTGAACTTACTCAACGCTCTCCGGCAGCCTGTATAGCAGCAGGGTAAAATTGGAATTTCTGTTCATTTGTAAAAAAAAAAAACCTATATCTTATATATATATTCTTATCCCTATCTCCCATGTATGTTTTTTTTTTAAATAGCTAGTGAGATTATGATCATTGAGGAGTACTGTAATTTCACAAAATATATTTTTTATTAAATATTACAGAAGTGATATCAAAACTGGAATGAAAAGTCATATTATAATTACGTACACATATATTAAGAATGTTACATCATTTTTAGCATGGTACACCCTGCCAGTGACACTTACGACATTACCAACATGACCCGAGCTTGGGAAATATTTCCCATACCTGAGAAAAAAGGATCGTGAGCTCTCCGACTGAGTACATTACTCACCTGCTCATCATCCTCCACAACGACCAGCGTCAGCCTGTCCCTCTTAAAATCCAAACGCGTGATCTTGGGCCTGCAGGGAGCACATTGCATTATCATCACTACTTAATATGTATACCGCACCGCTCATGCAACACATGCCCTTTGGCAGGAGACCACTTGAGGCAGCTGTCACTGTGAGGTGAATGCAGCACTGGCTAGCAAAGGGGCATTGAGTGTGCCAGTAGCAAGATGAACTTTGACCTCTTCGGAACAAACAACAGAAGACAGCACATGGCAGGCACTCAAGCTCATGAGTAAATGTCTGGCAGTTTTAGTAATGTACTACATTCCAGAGAAGTGAAATACATTTTTCACGTGTTGCAAAAATGGTGTAGACGGTGGGAAAGCACAGCTAGAAAGCAGATCATTCGAAACTTCTAGCATTTATAATTTCTAGCATTTATTGCCTCATTCGTGTCACAAACCAATGTAAAATGTAGTTTAAATTTACGTCTTTAGTAAACGAGGAATTACCTATTTTTTATTTTAAAATAATGCCAGTAATGTGTCTCATGTGATAATGTGGTTACACATATGAGAGTTGTAACACGTGCCAGAAGAAGAGGCCAATCTTTGTCTTTCCTTCAAACACCAATATTCCAGTTGGTGTCAGGCCGAGGGTGTAATCGTTGGCATCGCGTCCCTTGACACACAAATCAAAACATATTATCACATCAAGATGCAAAAGAGTATTCCAGACAGCACCTACACTTTAGCATCTGTTACATATTCAACCCAAAGTAACTCATTCATCACTATTCACCTCATAAAACAAAATTAAAAACAAGGTCACTACGACCCCGAGTTCCAGCCAGACCACAGGTCATGTGCTCAAGTTGGTGTGGGCTGCTGCATCTTGAGTGAGGGCACCTTGACAGCGTGCATGTCCACACCGTACATCTCCAGCCACTTGGCTCGGTTAAGGTAGTTGATTTCCGCCTGCGATGGCATCTGGCCCCTGTAAAGAACATTGTGCCGATGTCAAAACAAACCACAAAGCTGTATTTTAAACAAAAGTCTTTCCCTTAATCCAGTCTTATCACTCATTTTGTTGATGTTCGCTCTTAAAATAAATAAATGCACTTTTTTTGTTAAAGCCTCTTAAAGCTGTTTCTTAATTAAAAATATTCCAAAATTTAAATTCACATTGCACAAATTTGTTACCACTTCAAAGGTTCTTGAGGAGGTAATTATCATTATGCTTCCCCTTAACATATCACTTAAAATGGAATGAGATTAGAAATAAAATGAGACCTCGTCAAAACATTTTTACAATCTTTATTTACATACGCATTACTTGCAGTATGGTACACATATCCCATGCTCTATTCGAGACCATCTGCTACACTCCACAGTGAAAAAATGCTCTCCAAATTTTGATTTATTGAAGCAGCAGCTATGATAATATATATATATTTTTTACAAATTCATCTAAATACAGTAATATAATACTTAGTCTCGAAATAATTGTAATTCCTTCTATGATCAGTTGCTGGAAGAAATCGTAAGTTGCAAAGAGGAGAAACAGTCTTGTGTATATAGGCAGAGCAAAAGCACTTCACAACAGTCAATACAGGCATTCTATTACAGCAGCCAAAATACTGGTTAACATTTCAGTCAATGCCTATTGTTCAGAATAGTGAGACGGCTGTTAGTATATTGACTTACTTACTTACAGTTGTAGATAGCATATACATCATCTTACATCTGCAGAGATGGACAGCATCTAAATTACATGTATTTTACATATATATTTTAACAACATGTCATTGGAATTTAAATTACATAAATCAAAATAATTTGTAATTTGTATCTAATATGTCTATTGTTTATCTACTATCTACATTCGATTATTCCTGTAATTTGTAATTACAATGTACTATTCCCCATCATTTATTGATGTTTATGCCCAATTCAATTATATGAATGCAGTCATTCTCATATTCTTTTCCCCAGAGACACTGATGTCTGAATGTAGGTAGAGAAAGAGAAGGCTCAATTCCTCTGAATAAAACCCATCCTCGCATTGTGGTGGCAACACGGAAGTGGAAACGATGAGCCAGGTTGCCACACTACGTATAAATTCACTTGCCCTGGGTCTGACTTACCTGCAACTTTTCCACGTATCAAAGACAGCCATCTCCATGTCCTCGGTCTGGCCTGGCACGAAGCGGAACTCTGACACTAGAGCTGCCGTATGTTCCTCGGGGTCACAGTCGCCAATCTCAGCTGGTCCACACATGCATGCGCCCACCAACACCAAACAGACGGTGATGCAATCGCAGCTCAAGCTGCATTATTGTCACCACTTCAGGTGGAACACAGTGCGCGCAATGCTGTTTGATGGAATTACATTGCATCGGAGGCCACACTTCATGATCACTAAATCGTACACAATAATTTCACAAGAACATTTCTATTCACATTTTAATTCCCTCTATAATGTACACAAATGTACACAGTCACAGACGCACATCTAAATTAATTTCTTGCAGAATAAATTTGATAATCTTGACTTAACGCTTCCGTGACTGCAGGAATTCATATTCTAAATGTAATCATTATTCCGAAAAGAAACATTTAAGAAAATATTCGTATCATCGGCACCAGCTGCCCATTTTAATAACCCAACAGAACGTGAACTCGCATGTTAAATCCCTGTGGCACAAAACACGGATTTATATTTCTTCTTCTTTATCATGAATAATTCCATCAAAGTGTATTCTACAATGCCTGCAACAGTGAATGCTGTAAAGCAGCCCCAAGGAAGAAACCGCTGCTTTCAAAAATAAGTTGTGAGAAAGGAAAGGAAGAACAAATAATAAAATGGGGGGGGGGGGCGAGGGTTTTTGTGACTTGTCGACAGAGCTGTGCCACACTGATGAGTCACAGAGGAAGAAGTGCGGCATTCTAGGCACAGTCTGGGCAACGCGTTGCCTTCGTTTGTCTGCGTGGAAAATACTCCAGGCAATGCAGTAGGTGATGGACTTCAGAAATGCTGAATATTCTTTTCAGTCATATTTTCCAATGACAATGGCAGAGGTATAACGAGGCGTATGCAGAGCAGAATTTCACATATTATCCTCTTACAGAACCTGACCAGGGCAGGATATAAACTAACAGAGAGGGGAGGGGAGTCTCTCCACTCTGAAATCTCCATGATGAACACAGTCCCACGTTGACATTATCCTTTGTTATTCAATTAACACATTTGTATTGAAATGCTCTGATTTTTGTTTAATTCAATAAATTAAATAGAAATGACCTGGATGGCATGGGCAGGCCCTCAACCAGAAGTGGATTGACGAAAGCGCGGTACATGCTACAAACGTGAACATTAACACATTGCATAAAACGTGCATGCATAGTCTCATTATAACGCTGTAAGCGATATTCTTTAAACAACTAAATTAAATAACCAATAAACACATACGCAAGTCTGAAAGGGCAGTGTGAAGAATGCAGAGACAAAAGCGAAGGGAGTGCAACTGCCACAGTTGTGTTCTTCCTCAGGGACCAGAGGACAAAAGAACACACGTAGAGAAAGGGACACCAATTCATTCCTCGCACAATGACCCGAACCCAAACTGTGTTTTGAGAATGCATGGCAAAGAAACGGCCACAGCTTTGGCTTTGACCTATTCATGTAAAATTGTAATTATAGCCCACATCGTTTCATTAATCAATTGAGTCATGTTTGCTGGAGAGAAAATGCGACAATTAATTATAATTAGTGCTTTTCCATTCCTCCAACAGATTCCCCAAAAATTTAAGAAAATGTGACCAATATTATTGAGCTGCAGAGATGTTTTAAATTCGTAAGAACATGTAACTGCTTCACACCAAAAATAAAATAAAACAACGTTAACAATTATCAATAGCTCTCCGATATGTCTTCAGGTTGTACTGAGCGTCTGAGGTTCACTCCACGTACTGGGCACTTATTCATTTTCTTCAGTTCCTGAATAAGCTCCCTTCACGTGGAGCAACACGTTGGACAACTTGCCCAATAACGCACAGCACAACCGAAAAAAAACATCGGAGAGCTATACAGCGCAATCGTGAAAACCTTACGCGGTAGTACCAATTAATCAACATTAATTGAACTGATGCAACGCTCACCCTGGAGAGAAATCCCAGCGAGCTGCACGGCGATGTCGAAGGGGCACTCTAACCTGGCCGGGGGACAGAACGGGAACACCAGGTGAGTCACTTGACATCGTATCCAGCATGGGGGAACCCTCAGCTCTGCATGACAATGCAGCTGTGCTCGTCTGCAAGGAATACATACTTGCCACTGAGAATGTCCTGTTTCAGCTGCAGGACAAACAGATATCTGGAAGATAAAGTAAAAAAGCCAAGTGAAATTCAAGCCAGCCGTTCTATTTTCCTTGTAATTCGCACCTCCGATCAGCACGATTGGCTATGTATGGTGCGAAAGAAGTTCATATATATATACACATTTTACAGAATCAAACATTTTCTCTAAGCTGTGTAATATTTTCCATCACTGTTTTTTTTTGTATAAGAACATTTCCTTAATGTTTTCATTGTTTTGTAACCACAACTGTTCCACCTTTCACTTCCACTTAAGTCATCCCCTCCCCCACATCCTCCCACCCTAACACTTCATTCCTCCCTGCCCCAGTCACCTGGTGAGTTCCTCCCGCAGGTTGTTTGGCTCTGATGAGTAAAACTTGACACGCAGATGGAAGCAGTAGGGAGGGCCGACTGCCACCAGAGGCACAATGACAGAGGCGTTTTAGTGAATGCAACATCACTTCGAGCCCGACTATGTACAGCTAAGAAAATCAATCAACATACTGAAACCATAACAAGGCAGCATTGATAACTAAACTCTCCATCAACATTACTAAATAATCTCATCATTATCATCATCGGATAAAAAAATGTAAAAAAAGAAACAGATTAACAAGATATGCCGCTCAAGCGTAAAATGTTAAGTTAACAATGCAAGAGAGACAGTGATTTACATCCAAATCCACAAACTTACTTTTCACTTGTTTCTTTATACTCTTTGTGTTATCCAGCCAATGCTGTGGGCAAGAGAGACACGTGGTGAATGTGAATATATCCAGTGAACTGTTGCGGTGTAATGACGTGAACACTGGTTAGGAGTTAGAACTATGATGGATGAAGTGCTCAAGGCAAAGTGTGTGGTCAATGAGTTCAGTGTTGAGAACTCTTTCAATTGTATGCCACTTCAGCTGTATCATTCTATTCGTTTAAGTATGTTAACCTCTCATATGGACTCACTTGTTCCACCCGTATTATTGTTGGAATGTGGTGGGCAGCACGGGGCTATGCAGTGGGCAGCAGAGGGCATTCCTGCAAAATGCATTCTTTTACTCAACTTGTAGGCTACCATATGTCTGCACCTCACCATCACCAACCAACACTGACCAGCTCCATGAAGTATGGTCAACTCAACTGCCCACAACAACTCCGACGTAACCATTTGCGAGATACAGTGTGTGACGGATGGACATTTGTGAATTATATATTGGGATAAGGATGGAGCTGCAAACTTCTGTACACGTTTTGGTAAAGGATGCACTCATTAGATATGTTAAAATAGAAACCAATGTGTGTAAAAATGCTAAAAGCGTTTGTTACTAATTCAGCATTTAATCAAGTTCACAAGCACCATGTTCTGTATATCTTATCGTATTTGATATTTATGGAGTGCCTTCACTCAAGGCGCTTGACATAGTAAAATAAATTATGACAAAATATAATGATTTAGATGACAGGGGTGCGCAAGGATTGAGAAATGAGTGACCGCAATTGAGGTCAGGAAATAGTTGGGAAGGGACGGGAACGAGTGGAGGGGCAAAGGGCCAGATGAGAAAAATAATGGGCGATAGAGAAGAGGTGATCTTTAAGAGAGGAATGGAAGGAGGTTAAGGAGGGGGACTGCTATCTGTACAGGAGAAGTTTATTCCAGTGGAAGGTTGCAAGCAGGGAGAAGGACCGAAAATGGGATTGGGTACATAGATAAGGAGGGCAAGAGAGAGACAAAGAGAGGGAATGAAGAGGATTAGAGGGGACATAGGAGATGAGAGAGGCAAAATAAGTTGGGGCAAGGCCACGAAGATATTTAAAAACTATTGTCAGGTATTTTAAAAGACAACGGTCGCAAATGGGAAGCCAGTCAAGTCGTAGAAGAGAGGTACAAATTTGAGAATTTAACGGGAAATTTAAAATAACTGTACAGAAGCTTTTTTTTATTTGTTGGAGGGAAGTGAGGGCAGAGGCAGGAAGACCAAGAAAAAGATAATTGCAGTAGTCCAGATGGGTAAAGATCAGAGCATGAACTAAGAGTTTGGTGCCAGAAAGTGAAATGAGAGGGCATATTTTCCTAATAAATGAAAGTGGCAGCTGCGAGTAGGTGGAAAAATTGTAGGAAAAGTCAAAGGTGACACCAAGGTTGAGGGCACATGAAACAGGAGAAAGAAATGAGGGAAGGAGATGGTGGGAATGGGTAGAGTAGAGTGCGAGGCCGGAAAAAAATGTATTGACGTTTTCTAAGGATTGATAGAGAAAAAGTGAGGCACCATCCAATAATGGATAGCAGCCAGGCAGGAGGCGATACAAGAGGAAAGGTCAGGGGTAAAAGCAGGGGAAGAGTTGGGTGTCGTCGGCAGTGATTGTATGCTGCCAAGGTCATGGCAAATTGAAAAAGACAATCACCTGCAAGAACAGCAAGTGATACAACCTTTAAAATGAATGTATTTTTAACCAAACTACTTATTTTGGTGAAATCTAATTTAATTTGCTTTCCATTATTAAATTTTGATTTAAAGCTTTCGTGACTGCAGGGATTCATATTATTGGTTCTTTCGGTAAAGTCACGTAGAAGAGAAATAACATTTTTTATTATTTTGTTTCCCTTCCATTATTAAGTTAAGTTTTCCAAAAGCACTCGAACCTGCTAGTTTGTCTATTTATTTAAGTATTTCTTTCCAATGAGTAAAAAGAACACACTTAATATTTTTTTTAATTAGTGCGCCTTACTGCTATGAAATAATGAATCAAAAACGTGGACATTAACAAAGCTAATGCAACAAAAGCTGGAAAAGTGTGCAAATAAGCATTGAGAGATTAACGAGCTTCACTTATACCACCCAGTGAATGTGGCCAACAATTGCAACATTAAGCCTGAGCAATTGCTTTTGCGGAATTGCTACCGATGATCAGAATAAAACAAATGCATGAAACTAAATTCTCTGCGAACTAGGCACTGAGTGTTTAAACAAATGCTGCTGGTTAATGTTGATCTTGAAGATCGATAGGTCGACAAACGGAACAATGTAACGTTTATGCGATAATACAAAACAAATGGAATGGTGTTCATGTCTGTGGTCAGTCCTGAATCAGTGATGGCACCGCTATATCACAAGGTTAAAAGGTCATTTTGTGAGTTACATTTGAACACGGACTTTTCAGGTAATAACAAGTGTAATATGTGTAAAGTTACGTCTATAAAAAACAAAACAAAACATGTCAGCTTGTCTTTATTTTAACACACACACACGTGAAATAGTTGTTTTAGTCTGGAGCGCACCAGGAATTGTTACACGCCTCACACATGTAAAACATTTTACACTGACCTCGAGAATTGCTACAGTAAATCCTGCTGGCAGCTACACACGAGATCTGCTGTCAGGGCTCTGAAGTGAAGGAAGGCATGCATGCGAGACTCTCTCTACCTACTTATCCGGGAAACCACACACTGAGTCGTGGGACTCTTTTTCAGGAGCGGCCTGCATTGGGCTTTTATTTTTTAAAGACATTTTCAGCCAATTACTGAGTGTTGAAAGAAGTGGGAGTAAACCGGAGCACCCAGATGCTTGTGACAGGTCAAAACTCGATCCCCCGTACAGATGGAATCAGATGACAATTAGTCCTCTTGCTGTACTGACTTCTCCTGGCAGACCAGGGTATGACACCTCGACACCAACGGGAAGGCAGTTTCACAACATTTGTGCGAACCACCAACTGTTGCCTCTACACCACCACCTGTGATCATTTTATTCTGGCATGGGAGCCTCAGCGGCCGCAACCCGACTAACTTATGAATAATAGAGTTTAATAAATAAAAATACATGTAAAACAATACATTTGCAGTGCCCATTGCTGCATGAGCACATTTGGTTATAAATGCTTCCAGATCAGTTACAGAGCAAGGTCGCGATTAAACCAAACGTGCGTTATAATGTAGCCTCGTGTGTCCTTTGCATGTTTACATGATACAAACGTTGCGTGTGCTGGGAACAGATTGTAGACTTCAACTGCATATTGATCCAAATGTGCCCTATGCACTGTACACATTCCAAGCATTCCTGCAAGCTTTCAAACCTCTGCTCTGTTTCCCTTCGCGCTTCGCGCTCCCTCTCTCCTGTCCACATCCGACACTCCCACGCGCAACGCCTTTCATATCTTTGCCTTTCTTTCTGGGCAGTCCAACCCGTCCGTTACTCCCACTCGTAACCCTTTTGAGCACTCGCCCGCATTGGAACACTCACCCACGGACTGTCCAAATTCATTAGAGCAGCCTGAAACTCTGGGCTTACACATACTTTAGTAAACATTTGGCAAATGCTTTAATAAAGTGGTATCATTATTGTTGGCGTTTAAGGTATATCAAAGTGTGGATTTTTTTTCGTAAAATAAAAAAATGCTTTTTTACGAAACTTTTTCTTCAAAAAATAATATGGATTCTGAAAAGCACTTAGATTGGCCAACAGAATTGGAAAAATAGCAATTAATTTCAACCACTTACCTTCACTAATTAAAAACACCAGGAGGCATACTTGACTGCACCGGAAGCTTGTAAGACCAAGCAGGGGGTGATTGAACAAGGGTGTATTTGATTGTATTTACCAGGGGCATGTATACTGTACACTACATTTTATTTGTACGACGTAAAGCACTTGAAATTCAAATCTTACGTGAAAAAGAGAGACAAATACCCCTCTACCACTGGCACACCGAGTTGCGCCAGTGGTAGGGTTCACACAGCACGCGGTGGTTGTTCCACTGGCCATCTGCCTAGCCGGGCAGGAACCAAACCGTGATACGCTGGCCTCACTCGAAGACATCTGCATCTGGCTTGGGATCAAGCAGGGCTGGGGTGTAGTTCACGACGTGTTCATCGCATGTGACATAAGTCGGCACAACACTGTCAGGACATATGCTATGAACTGTAAGGAAATCGCGACTTGGCTCCTCCCGCACCGGGCTGGATTGGCACGGCCCTGGAGTGGCTTCTTGGTTGTGCAGTTGGAAAGAAGTGCAGGTCTCAATGGGCTCTCACTGGGTACTAAATAAAGTTAGTGAATGCAGGATGTGAAAGGAAGGAGCTTGTCTAATCTGTCCCAGGTCACTCACCGGCACTTGTGCTGAGTCCATGAACTGCAGGCCAAAGTAGTCGGTCTCTTCCACATCCAGGTGGTACATGATCTGGTCGAACAACTCTTGACCCTTTGCCTTTTTCTGAACATAATGTTGCGCACACACACACACATAATCAATGCATTATCTCTATAAATGATTATCAAGAGTGTTGATATTCATCATTATCAACCATGACCTGACAGCCAAAGGAGGGAACACGCTTGAGAGGACATTCACCATGGTAGAAATGAAACGACCAGCTCGAGCTAGATGGAGTGTTGCATCAGGAGATTATATGGGGTGGCAATTACCTGCAGAGTCCTTCATCAGAATTGTCAGACAGTGATGAATTAGTATGCCATGCGCTAATAAAGTCAAAGTGTCTCCATGCACAATGGATAAAAGAGCAAGCTTCTTTAATGGTGCTGAGCCTCCCTTGTGAAGACCAATATGCCTGTAGGGGCGGGCAATATACACTGGCATAGTGTAATGTGCTAAAAACTAGATGTGGAACGATGCATTGAATGCTCAAATCAATATCCATTCCTTAGTTCATGATACATGCACTGAATCACGTGCTAAAATAAGAAGTTAAGTTTTTCCATGAGGATGATACTTGAAAACAAACCTTCCAGCAATGAGTCGACTAAGGCCTCTAAACAATCTAGTTATCATTCTAATACAGTGTAAAACATAAACACTACATACATATACTCTCTAAGAGTCGCTAAAAATTCGATGCTAAAAATAAAAGCATTTTAACATGTAACATTTTACACATTTACTACCTGTATTGTGGAATTTGTTCCGTCCTTACAATTTCGTTACCATAATAATTCCACGTTACAGCATAATTACTCTGCATCAGAGGATCATTTCAATACCATAATAATGACAGGAAACATACACTTGTGCCGCAATAAGAGATTTGGAAATTACCTGCGTTGAAATATGGATTATAATCATGGACATTGACAAAGAAGATGGAACTAAATCTGAAAGGTACTGAAAGGATACAAAGTGGTCTATTTAGAGTCACGCTGAGAGAGAGCACAAAAGAGAAACGCAGGGATTAGACGAACATGCGCAAGTTAGAGACGTCATGTTGACTGTTCGCAAAAAGCAAATGAGCTTGGGCAGAAGACGTCGCGAGCAGAGGAATGGCCAGTGGTTGAGACTGATGTAGGAAGTGAAATTAAATCAGCTCGTATACAAGAGCTGGATGGATTGGACTAATAGATGGCAAGAGATTGGGGGGCGGGGCCTTCATCCAGCAGTGGATTGATGACGGCTGCAACTGACGATAATGAATTACCGTACAACATTACCATCATTTTTTTTAATCTGACCTAATTCTATTTGCATTATTGAACACTATAATGCACTCCTGAGAAAGGTTGACTGCTTTAATTTTGCAGCCGGTTTGCAAGGTATGATTACACGGTTTTAACACACGACACGTAGCGAAGAAAACTTCACACGTTCAAGTGCTTTCTGAGAACACACATTCATGTTTCTGCTTACGATATACACAATTATGCATACTGATTGGGAGTGCAAAAGGAACTTTTGTATCCGTATTATCCTTCAACGGCACACTTACTAAAGGCAAGGGTCCTGCAATGCTTGGTAAGCATCCTAAGCATCCTAAAGAGTGCAGGATGATGTTTATTTATTACGTCAGGCACTTGTCTGTCAGCTGCCCTCCTACTAATAACAATGGCCTTCATTAACCCAGGAAAGTCTGACGGAATGTGAAGACAATTTTTTTTTATCAGGGCCCTGCATTGGGATGTTTGGCCAACTTACGAAAGAGCGTGAAGAAAAATCCATGCACGTGTGAGCAGAAAACATTCAAAGCCCCGCACAGATATATTTAATAATATATAATGGTACACTGCCATCATCATAACACGTAGGCTTTCGCGACCAATATTTTTCATAATAAAGGTTTTTGGGTTAGATCGCGTTATTTATAAATGTGTCGTAACCCTCCACCACCCGACACGGCCAATCAGCAAATAAAAGTGTCTCGTTGACAAAAGACAAATAGTTCACTACTTTAGCCCACCGGTGTGTTGAAGAGTGAATCCATCATCTGTCCACCTCACAACCCAACCAGGCTCAACTCTGCATACCTTCCAAGTTTGGCACATATACGTTAACAACCAATTTCTAATCAGTTTACGTGCAGTATATATATTCAACCCCCATGAAATAACACGCGCATAAACTTACGCTCGTAACTTCCATTCGACTAAAACATATCCATACACAAAGGACAATTACTAATGAAAGAGGAGCATTATGCACATAACCCGACTGTTACGCAAATGCACTCAATTGTTAACAATGGTGGGGGGGGGGGGGGGTTATTTATTACACGTCTTGTGTGTGCACAATGAGGCCAGGGCCTCCAGGCACGACGACCAGCGCTTGCGAGCACACAACATCTGGAGCAAGAGGTTGAGGAATAGAGTCGTTGTTAATGAATGAGCCAGCACGCGTCCCTTCACGTGGACAATTACTTCACTCTCGACGGTACACAACTGCAGAAAGTTGCAGCGAGCATCAAGGTGGCAAAACGACGACGTGGCCAAAAGCAAGTTCACGTTAATGCTTGCTGAAATGTTTCATACTGTAATGCTTAGCGTTACACAAGGTTGTCCACGCGACTTGCGTCTCAAAATTGCTCGGGAACCACAGACGAGACGGAAATCAGCCAGGCAATGAGCCGGACGCACAACAATTGGCCAAGTTCTGCGAGCCACTACATGCGAAGATATTTCCAGCAAATGAATGAGTTGTTTACACGCCATGCGTGAAATAAAGGCGATGCCACTTTAGTCGTAACCGAAAAATGCAAGTGGTCATAATGTATGTATGTGTGTGAAATGTATATGTTTAACTTCTTTCACGCCGTAACGTAGCCAACCGTGCTAATCTAAGGGTGCTGGAAATGGCATCGTAGCCACTCTTTGTGTAAGTCGGTGATGAGAGCTACAACTCCCACTCAAGCATTTCTAACCATCGCGATGCATCAATTGCAGTAACATCGATTCCGAAGCTCTCACAATGCACCCCTCTAATCACCTCTGTAACAATCAATGTTTTTCCCCATTTTGATTCATATGTTACTTTTTTTGTGCAGTATTGAGTTCACGTGACCTCCGTAGCCACGGGTGGTCGATACGTTCACCGCTATGCAAATACATGTGTTTTGAAGAATCATAAACGGGTGTTATTGAATGGTCACTGTATGTGAATTCACGACAGCCACGAATTTACGTATAAGCATGGATCGAGTTTTTGAAAAGCACCAACTCCCCTTCAAAAGGTTGGAATAAGGACGCCCTGCAACCTGCTTAAGCCGGTCATTCCTGTTCAATCCAACAGTGTTCAGCGGTGCGTGCATTGAACAATAAACAATTACGTCAGGAATTCGGGCCAAAGGCTACTTGGGTTTTGAGGTCTCACAAAGGGCTGCTTTATTTCCAACTTGGTTGGTTGGTTGGTGCACTGGTCCACAACATCCTAATAAACAAGCATTCACAGCAAATGGCCTCATTGTGTGTGTGGCACCACTTCATTGACACCCACATGTTGAGAACACATTAAAAGACCTAGATGCCCTCAGCCAACGCCTTTATCGTTGACAATCAAAACCCAATTACGATGGGCAACACAGTCATCATGCCTGCCAACTGAACAGTCATTTCCAATGGTTCAACCCATATGCTTCCAAGGGCCTGGATTACTCGCTTTGGCCATGGCCTCATTCAACAGCTGAACCTTAAATTCTTAGCTCTTTCGGTAAAGTCACGTTGAAGGGAAACAATAAAATATATAACAATAAAAATTCTCACGACGTTTCGACCATAACACAAACGTATGTGAAAACCGACACACCTGATGACGACCGTTTGTGTTATGGTCGAAACGTCGTGAGAATTTTTATTGTTTTATATGTATTTTATTATTTTATTGTTTCCCTTCAACGTGACTTTACCGAAAGAGCTAAGAATATTAATTACTGCAGTCACGAAAGCTTTAAATCTAAATTTAGCTGAACCTTAAGTTGACAGCTTTGGAGGCCTTCCAGGTAAACAACAACATAAATGCAAAGCATTGCTCAGTGGCTTAATAAAAACCGCTGCTATAATGAATTGCCATTTTATATACATTTATCTACAATACACAATAACAAAAAGGTGTATTATTTTTTGCATAACCCAGCAAATGAACCATGAATATTACTGTAAACGTTCCAGATCTGTCACGTTTGCCAAACGGTATGAATTCCTTCATTACAGCTTCATTCGCACGAAACTTGCCTGAACTAGCCAGAAGATTAGAATTGCACAACAAAGCACATTGCAGAGTTCTCTGATTCCCTGATAGGTAACTACAGCTGGATCAACCAGAATGCTCACATTGCTTTGTAGAATATAAACATGTATGGTTAAGAATGGGTGCTAATCAAAGTGTGTTGTTATATCCAGTGACTCATTGAAGACATGCAGAATGTGTTGACTCTTAATTAGTTCCCGGTGTCTAAATACTGAAATAAATGTACTTAAATATCCTTCTGAGGTAAAATGAAATGCAAAATACTGTATAAGTATAAATACAGCATTGCAAAATTATGGATATTTCGTTTTATGTTTGTACATATGTACAGTGTGTATAGGAATGAATATATGAATGCTTTGATAATATGTAAAGCACGTATATCCAATTTTCCAACGAAATATCACTAGGAAGGTGCCCGATCTCGTCAGATGTCAAATTATGGAAAGTACTTGGATGAGTGAACACCACGTACATATAAAATATGTGTCATAGGCTGCTTCGGGCTAAGTTGTGGGCAGTACAGAAAAAAAACACATGCTTGTACTGCACTATTCTCATGCATCTATGCTCCCCACTTTGGCCAGCTTACACTGACCAGCCTGGTGAAGAAAGGTCAAACAAGCGCCACAACGATGAGGCCCTCATCCAGCAGTGGATTGACATTCACATGTACTGCATCAACAACAGGTGTAGTCATAGACAAATACTGCTGGACAGAAAACGCACACGCTAAGGGGATGGGCCTGTGGATCGGACTCCACTGTGCGCGCCACGAGGTGTCGTTGGGTTGAGGCATACATCTCGACACACTGAGAAAAGTTCCTCCACAGGCAAATCCTATTAAGGACGAGATCGAGAATGCACACCCGTCTCGACTCGCTGATCCATCGAGGATATGCATTGTAAAAGCAACAGCCCACATGCCTTTTGGAGATGTTAAGCTAATATTCACATAAAACCACAAATTGAGGATGGCTCACAACTGAGCTCAGTCGGGCTTGAAGGGACATCACCCGTTCAGTCATTAAAACACATGAAAAAAGGAATCCTTTGTGGAATGTTTTGTTTTATTTAACAGTGCTGATTTCCGTAAATGCACAATTAACCTTTGTTTCATTTGTGTGTAGAGTTTTGGCAGGAAGGGCACGGTGGAGGTTGTGGTACAGCCACCACTTGCCATGGAGATCTAGTATTCGGGAAGTAATCCCATTACTTGGGAATATATTCATTTATCATGCCACACACGTGCACATAATTTCTAATATATCTTGGCACTCTGCTTTGCAACTGCGTAAAACCAACATTCGTGACATTTCAAGTTAATGTTCTTTTTTACTTAGTGCATTAGATGCCTCGTGGTCAAATCATGCACCTGGTAAAGTTTTATTTCAGTGCCTCTGGGTCTTATGCTATCCAATCTTTGTTCTCCATTATTTTCTTGTTACTCACCTTTGATAATGCCATTCCCATTTCTTTACAGCAGACGTTAGTTATATTTGTACGATGCTTGTGTGCGTTTGGGTATTTACAGAATATGAAGTACCCACAGTTTGTGTGCACGTGTTAATCAGTAGCATCACACAGCCTGTGTGCTCAATAGGCACGAAAAATAAACAGTACGCTACCAATCAAATGTCAGCTGTAACAAAGTAAAATCAATTAAATCCATAGATTATTTAGTTCACCATTTAAGCGGCACAACAAATCAATGATAACCGTATCAGTTGTGAGGGGCTGTTGTGGGAGGTATGGGGGTGGGGAGGTGAGGGGCCAGGATGGGAAAAGAGGGATGATGGATAAGAGGACAGGACGAGAACATTTTGACGAATTCCTCGTGGAATTACCTGAAACAATGAGTTCAAGATCTAAGGTTAACCCATATCGACAGCCATCATGCATGTGCAGTGTGATCGTACAATTCACAAGGGGCACATTCTAAAGGTTAAAAAACGCATTAAACGTTTAGCAAAAAAAAACACTATTTTAAAGGTAGTGTGGTGACTTATCGTGCATGTAGTTTCATCATATATATAAGTAGTAGTTGATTATATTTAAATTTATAGCACGTAAATAAAAGGTTAAGGCACAGCCCTGCAATTACTTGCTCATGCCACTGCCGACAGAAGAGCCTCCAATAGAGAAAGTTATAGAGAGTATTTTTGGCCTACTCTTCCACACCGGCTAGAGGTCTTGGAAGGGGTGGTAGAACCCACACCTTGTCCGACCACACGCAACCTGCTGATGGACTCTGGTGTAACCATTTGTCATGCAGAGGCGGGGTTAATTTGAGTCAACTATTAAATAAATGTCCCAGACTTGTGTGTACAATTTTTTATAATAATTCCATTAACCAGTAAACGAATTGGAATATCTATAACACTTGTCTGCAATGATGAAATGCCTGTTCGTAACCCATTGTCGTACACTTTGGAATCGTTAATCTCACGAGGTTTAAAAGGCTGAAACAACACAGACAAGGAACTTTAAAACTAGTTGTGGCCTGATGCAGTGTTTTGTTGCAGTAAACCCCCTACAAAAACGTTACAGTGCTGTACTGTACCGTCAGTTAAGCCTGCTCTCTTGCAGAGATAAAGAGATCAGGAGCGGTCACAGAGACCGTGGCTGACGAGAACCTGCTTAAGATATGGCTCGAGGGGTAACCAGGGGCGGCTCCTTTTTGGTACGGAGTTAGCGGAGAGAAGAGATTGCGCCTAGAAGGAGTGGGATAATGGACAAAAAGTGATCAAGTGCAGGGCTAACAGAGCAACAGAGAATTGGATGGCGATGTCACCTCACCACACAGACATGCCGGAAATTGCTGCAGCATGACTTTAATGAGCATGCCTTCCATGATGCTTTCAATAATAAAATAAAATTAATTCTTTTAAATATAATATATGAAGTGAAATAACTTTATTGTACTATTTAAAATAACGTGTACTTTTTAAAATGATTAGACATGAGCATTGGGTCAAACTGACACTGCTGGGATAACTCTGAACAAGTGATGTTTTCCGGCGAGGTTTACTGAGAAGTCCAGTTCTCTTTTGCTCGAGCTCAAGACCTACTACACTGCACCGCATTTCAATACTGTAGCCGTATTAGAAGTGTCTCCAACAAATGAAACGATTGACAGACAGCAGCTCAACTCAGCCACATGCAAAATGAACACGGACACAGTCTCTGCATACCAGAGTTGGGAAAATATGCAGTTGGGAAGACGTTATTCACTGGTATATGAATGGGCCCTATAAATCTGTCACCTGTCTGATACTGATAGGCTGCCAGAGTGAGGAAATACAGCCAAGGCTCAAAGCGGGGTATGGGGTCACTGAGAAAGGCAAAGGTGGTCGATGTGATACAAGTTAGAGACGTGGTTAACATGCGAGCAGTACATATATCTTCTTTGGTTCTTTCGGTAAAGTCACGTAGAATGAGAATACAATAATAAATTGATAAAATAAAATAACACAATAATATTCTCACGACGTTTTGGCCACAACACAAGCGGCCTTCATCAGCGATACTTTACAGGAAACCACACCAGAAGCCGTTATATATATGGCTCACGAACCTCAATATTTAAATGTAGCTTTTAATACACATAATCCTGCCATACGCCAGCATTAAATTATCGGCAGGGCGTAAAATACAATGAGTCACTGGCTACATTCCATCTGTGGCCTCTTTTAATAACGAGGTTTGAAATAACGCCACTGCCGTGAGCCAAATTTACCAAAGTTACTTTTTGACCAGAAGACATTCCTGTCTCAGGGCATCATATCATAATGCCATCACATCATGATTTGTCACATCTTGGGCTGTAAAACGTAATCTTTGTATAGTATACCGTATAAAGGCATATATGTACCCCCCTTTATAACCATATGAGAGCCAAGTATTTATAGACATTGTGCTGCCTTTGTCTCTCTCCTGATGTTCACAATACTCCACCAGGTATTCCTGTAGGCCGTGTCCACATAAGAGGCCCCGATCGAGGTAAACTTTTCAAAGGCCTCTTGCTCAACGCAGGCTGGAAAGCAACTCTCCACCACTCTCAGAATATACTACAAAGCATTAACAACCATACATGCAATAACCAACACACACTGCCACATGCCGCAGTGATTCACATGGTATACACATACGAGGTGCACCTTGTATCGCATTCGGTACAGTTGATTGTGCAGGTTTGGTTCCAGAATTCATTGCAGGATCTCGATGTGAACGTGAGGGTTTGGATTTTTGTGCCAGTATCGTACCCTCATGTGGTTGGGGATATGGTAAGGTGACCATGTGGATGTTACGTTTTTTATTATTACCCCCGTACTAGGTTCCTATGCAGGGTTATGGTGTTAATGTTTCAGCTCAGGTCCCAGTGTGTGAACTTAGGGTTCGTGTTCCGGTACAGGTGTCTATGGTTTGGGTCCGGTTCTGGATGCCCATTGATGGCTAAGGTGTCAATAACATTCAAATGAGCCCTCGATACGAGATTACACTGTATATTTAGACGTCACCTAAAAAAAACACCGTTGAGAAAAGCACCTCGCCGAGTCAAAACACCCGGTATGGAATGTGGTAAAAGGTGAAAAGTTAAAGGCGCAGCCCTGCAATGTCTTGTTCGCACCACTGCTCGTGAAAGGGCCTCCACTAGAGGGAGCTCTGGAGATCCCCTTTAGAGCGTACTTGGCCTACTCTTCAACGCTGGACAGATGTCCTTCCCGGGCACCTCCGGTTGGCGACGTACGGTGCGAAAGAAGGCAACATACATACACGTGGGCGTACCCACTCTTTACCCTACCGTCCGCGACCTGCTCGTCGACTGAACCGTGGCGTATCAATTTATACTTCTGAGTGGAGAGTCTGGAGGTGGAGGACGAATTAAGAAATGTGCTCATTGGTTCAGTTGCCGCCACGGGAGGTCGCACGAGCGACCTCTAGACGGGTGGGGGAATGGAACGGACGAATGAAGGGAGGGAGGGAGCGAGCTTTGACAAGAGGTGAGGCTCTCTAGATGAGGGGTCGTCAGCATGCGGCTCTTCGGCTTCCACTCGCAGCTCTATGGCTGCCCCCTACCCTCCCTCCTTCGGGCAGCAGTTTTTTTCATTACTTAAATCTTAAACGTAATTTAACGTAAAGATAATTGAATAAATATGGCAGGCAGTGGGTCACTCTGAAATGTCTTAGTGACCACAGAATGTACAATCTAACTGTATTGTTAAAGAATAACTAAAGGGGGGGGGGGGAGGACTAATTAGACGCAGTTTATGCCATCATCTATTTTGTTCACTTAAAAATGCGTTTCTCGTCCGCTGTACGCGTGCTGTGTTTGCGCACAGACAGCTCTGCGTGTGATGCGGCTCTCTCAAACTATTTTGGTCAAAAAACAAACACAACACCCCGCACCCCACCCCCCCCAAAAAAAATATCTCCTCTTCTTCTTCTTTGAAAGACCTCCCTGCCAACACCCCCCCCCCCATCCATCATCCATCCCGGTTACCCTCTCCATCTACCACCCACCCGTCCGCGACATCGCCGCCGCCGCCCTTCACTCACGCTCAGGTCCACGCTGACGTCGCCGCCGTCGAGAAGCGCCACGCGGCAGGTGAGCGTGGCGCGGCCGGCTCCCGCCGCGGCGGGGATGTGCACCTGCGCGCGTTGCGAGTCGCGCTCCACCACGGGCTGCGAGCGACGCGAACGCCGCCCGAACGTGCGGCGCAGGAACTTGAGCATCGCGGCGTCGGCAGCGGATGGACGGACGGACGGGGGTGGTGGTGGAGGAGGAGGAGGACACGCGCACGCACGCACGCAGGCGCAAGTCTCCGCGTCTTCCTATTCTTCTGCTCTCACAAACACCACCCCCCCCCCACTCTTTATTTTACTCAGCGGTGGTGGAACAGACAGCACGGCGGTGTCGTTTCCGAAGCCGAACGCGGGAGACTGGTGGCAGACGGGACGGACGGGCGGGCGGGCGGGCAGCTCGGAGCGTGTCGACACGACAGGAGCCGCTGTCGGGTCGTGGTGGTGGTGGTGGTCGTGGTGGTGTTGGTGGTTGGCCGGCAGTGGCGGTAGAAATTCTGCCGTCGGCGTGCGGCGGCAGTAGCGGCAACAAGTTGAAGAAGGGGCAGCGGCAGGAGCAGCAGAGAGAAGCACCCAGCAACACCTGCAGGGAAGGAGGAGGAGGAGCACCAGCGGCAGGAATAAACTCTGCGTCACCCGCGGCCCAGGAACGGACACCCCACGACGACTCGCGCAGCAACAAAGGAATGCGGCGTCGGCGGCGGGGTTCAACCAACAGCTTCGGAAGAAAAGAAAAAAAACTCTCGTTCAGTTGTTTGCGAAAGCGAGCAGAGAAGTTCTACTAAATTCTCGGCATCGTGCGCGAGGTGGCACTGTATCTTACTCCCACCCACCCCACCCCGCGGTCTCGTCCCGCGTTCTAAAGAGCGAAGAAAGGAAACTAAATCCCCGTCGTAGGCGGAAAATCGCTCGGAATCCCCAAAGGGGCTGTTTGTGTCTGATCCGCGAAACTCAAAGGCTCCCGTGTCGCCTGCCCTCGTTGTGGAGGTGGTGGTGGTGGGGGGGCACGGGGTCTGCGCTTCGCACCCAGCCCCGCGCCTCGCTCCACCCACCCCGGGCTCCCAGCCGCCTCCCTGCACCCTCCTCGCATTGTGCAGACACGCAGCCTGGCAACTCCCTGTCACCGCCCGGAGCACACCCACATCCATGATGATCACCGGGTACCACCTCTCCAGCACGTCCCATCATCTCCCCTGCGTCTCCCAGACGGTCACGTTGGAGCCGTCCATAAATGACATAAAGGGGTTTTTTGGGCGATTTTTGACCCCCCCTCCTCGTCACACGGCGTCACAAAACGTCAGACCCCCCCCCCCGCAAATATGACGTCACAAAGCTCTGCCCTCCCAAATAAAACATGCTTCAAATCGCTTTAAACTATTGTCATTGTAGTACGTATTTAATGTGGCGCTGCACTCTGATATTGTAGTAGAAAACATGTATTAAAATGTCTATTTAATTAAGTAGAACGTGTTGTCTATGTTTATTTAAAGTTGCGCATTTTGATGTGACGTCACATTTCTCAACCCCCCCCCCCTCGTCACACATCGTCACAAATGTCTGACCCCTCCCCCCCCCTAGGTGCGTGACGTCATTTATGGACGGCCCCTTAGGCGCGTACCCTGGCACTCCTCAGTAGCTCATTCCCCTGCATCCTCTAAACATAGTGCTTCCCCACTACTTCACAGATACCTGCACCGCTACATCCACTGAACCTCCCCAGATAGTCACGCACCAAAACATTATAATTGTCTTCCCAAGGTCCGACGCAGGACCTCCCTCTTGCACCCCTCCGCACAATATCCCAGGGAGTATGAAGCGCTTCTCTGTCACCCCACTCCCAGTACGGTACTTGGATCCAGCAGCTCGCTCTGCACCCCGAAGTTGCTACACGGTCACCCCTCTTGCACCACCACCTTTGTCCTTGTGCACGTACTGTAGAGAGAAACTCCCTGTACATCCCAGCATATCCCGGGGCCACCCTTCCGTACCTCCCCCGCATCCCGTGCACATACCGAACACCAAATGCCGTAATTATAATATATATTGGGGGGACACATCCCCCCTCCCAATATTCAAATATGCTCAAAATGCCCCCCCCCCAATATATTGCTATAAAAGAGATTTCTGTTTATATTGTGGTTATGGTTGTACTTTATTAATCCCTAATCTCTGCCATTACATACAATGGAACAAGAAAAGGTAAAAAAAGAAAAAAACAGAGCAATGTAATACAATACACTATTAGACATTATTGTAAAATATAAATAAAAAGTCCATCCTATGTGTTAGTTATTTTTTATATTTTATGCAGGAATTTCGTTTTCAAATTTAGATTTTTTCTGGGGGGGGAACCCCCAGCCACCCCTGGAAGATTTGGTCCCCCCCCTCAATGTTGACTACATGGCTACTGCCTTGCCGAACACGTAACCTCTTGCACATCCAAGGTTCGCCTGCAACTTCTCTCGCTCACGCTCCTCACTCACTCATTCACTCACTCACTCGCGCCCGGCACTCAAGCTTATGCATGGACCCTTCGGGCTGGCCTCGCCACGCTGATAAGTTGTGATAAGCCAACCGTACTGGTTTTGATACAAACTCAAACGTCAAAAAAAGGTCTCGCTGTGTACAGTCGTTTTGTTGTTGTAAAAAAAACACCAGTGCTTGGTTAATAATGATTACGATTTAAATGCGGGGTTAGTTAGCCTAGAGTAAGTCGTGTGGCAGCACGTAGCGCAGCAATGTATAATCGTGTTAATTATTGACGGTCCATGTATGAGTGTGGTGCTACCGTCAATGTTTAATGATCTTAGCCTTTAATATTGTTGTGCTCCAAGCAGTTTCGGTGTTGACACATTAAGTGTGCATTGCAAAGAAGCAATGCTCATTTGAATGATTATTGTAATTATAAATCACGCTCAGAGTTCACGCACTTAGCTAAATTTAAATAAGCGTGTTAAATGCACTTATAACGTGCGCAGCATTCGCTTACAGAGAGAAAACGACTCAGAAGCTCTAGAAAGAACCACAGATAAGCGGGGAGCAGCTACCACATCGACAAATACCTCCCCCCCCCCACCCCCTCCAAGCTCTACAGTTCTGTATATTTTGATTTAAAGCTTTCGTGACTGCAGGGATTCATATTCTTGGTTCTTTCGGTAAAGTCGCGTAGAAGGGAAACAATAAAATAATAAAAATATAAAACAATAACAATTCTCACGACGTTTCGACTGCAACACAAGCAATCATCATCATCAGGTGTGAAAACCACAGCAACAATTTTTTTGCTGTGGTTTTCACACCTGATGATGATTGCTGTTGTTGCAGTCGAAACGTCGTGAGAATTTGTATATTTTTATTTTATTGTTTCCCTTCTACGTGACTTTACCGAAAGAACCAAGAATATAGTTCTGTATATATTGAGGTATTATTGGACAATTCAACCAACCGGTAATGGATATCCATTGCAGACATAACTCCCCGCTCTGGCCTTTGCACCTGATTGGCTCTCAAGTGACGACATTAAATGTATCCTTCTATTTAAGAACGAAACAGGAGGGTTTCTTCACAAATCTGGCTGTCGCCTGATGAAGCTAGTTGTAATTACCGGTGAAACGTCGTACTCGAATTGTAAATGTTGTGGGTTTACTCTCCAACACACCGGTGTGCTGTACTTGTAACTAATTCGCATGTTTTGTTTACGTGACAAACCTTACTAATTGGCTGTATTAGGAATTAATGGTTCTTCATACTCCGAGGGTTCGTAGGTTAAAACACACGAACTATACGGTACTTTGGTCGTTAATCCTTCAAGATTGTTTCGTTAAGGACCCGTGCTATGCAACTCGAGTGGCTTGCTGTGGTCACATGAATGTGAGGCAGTGCATTGCCCACGTCGTTTTCGCCAGCCCGTGAAGTTGGGTCCCCAGATCGTAGCCTCGCCTGACACCACCCCCCACCCCCCTGTCCTGAGTCACCTCAAATCCCGATGGCATCATCCACGGTGACAGTCAAGGGATTGAACGCATCCGGAAGTCCGTCCAATGAGATGATCGGTGGAATCGGCTAGTGTGTGTGTCGGTGCTAAGGTCAGCGCTGGATGTGTTTGTCACGTCACTGGATTTCGGGAGTTGGCGACAGGCTTATGGGAGCCCTTAATTCAGCAGTGGATTGACCATGGCTGATGGTGTAATATGAAAGAAAACCTCAACACGTTCGTCAATAGCAATGTTTAAAGAGGAAAGCAAATATATTCTAAGCGACGTTCTGGGCTATGGCCCTTTTTCAAAGAACAACGGATAATATAAAGCAATGCACTTGCAGTACGTGACATTTTATCAAGGTGGCGACACACCCAGTGCAATTCCCGTGTACATTGTGAACAATGAATGGTAACCGCGTTTAAACGCACCACATTTTCTCCTTAAGCATGACCACTTAAAAAAGCGTAAACACTGGGTTACGTATGTTGTGCGCACTTGCAAAATCAAATTGCAATGAAATGTAATTACAATTAAATAAGCGGGCAATTAATTAGTTAATTAAACAATGATTCCGAAGTCTGCAGCGATTTTCGGCTGAATTTCGATTTAAAGCTTTCGTGACTGCAATGATTCATCTTCTTTGGTTCTTTCGGTAAAGTCACGTAGAATGAGAATAAAATAATACATTGATAAAATAAAATAACACAATAATATTCTCACGACGTTTCGGCCACAACACAAGCGGCCTTCATCAGGTGAAGGGACGAGACTGTCTGGTAGGACAGCGCTGGAGTGAAAGAGCCACGTTCAGATCACGTGATCTGAACCTGATGAAGGCCGCTTGTGTTGTGGCCGAAACGTCGTGAGAATATTATTGTGTTATTTTATTTTATCAATTTATTATTTTATTCTCATTCTACGTGACTTTACCGAAAGAACCAAAGAAGATTTTCGGCTGCTCCTTTTGCCGCATTCCAGCTGCGTGTGTTTGTGCGATTTGTCGTCTTGACTCAACCGTGCAGGAGGGAAAGCTCTGCTGTTACTACACTAGTTGTGAATTATGTTATCTTGATTGTCCCAAGGGGCTTATTTCCATTGATAAGTTGTTTACCAGTCTAGCGCGTAATTCACGTGCCTAATTTAACCAAACAAAACCCCTACGATTTTAAGTTGTGGACTGTTGCTACTATGC